CATCTGGGACTAACCACAGGGGCATTGCTAGCGTTTGGGACTAACCACGGGGGCATTGCTAACATCTGGGACTAACCACAGGCGCATTGCTAACATCTGGGACTAACCACAGGCGCATTGCTAACATCTGGGACTAACCACAGGGGCATTGCTAACATCTGGGACTAACCACAGGGGCATTGCTAGCGTTTGGGACTAACCACGGGGGCATTGCTAACATCTGGGACTAACCAGAGGGTTCAAACATCAGAATGACGTAAAATCAAAACTACAGGAACCACCCGCGATAGGTTATCGGCTCAATGAAAGCGACACCTGTTGATAATTAAGTAACCTATACATACAAGATGTCATCAATGATGAGTTTCGCAAATGTTTTTTTGCTTAACTTCTGAATATGATTTATTAAAAACCACAATGTGTATCACAAGACACAATGTACAGAGCTATATTTCTTGCACTGATCACACAACACATCCATAGGTAAACCACCAACACCCCCCACCCACCCTGCGCCAATCTTTGGCCAATCTGGACTAATCTGCTCATCTTCTTCACCTCAACGCTACCTGTAAAACAACACACCCGCTAACAACACACCCACAAAACAACACACCCACAAAACAACACACCTACAAAACACCTCAAGAAACAAAACAACTAGAAAGCAACACCTTCAAGACATCATGAATGGCGTGGATGACAAAAATAAACTCCATTAATTGAAGATGACACCAGCGACTTGAGTGAGTGAAAAAAACCAAGCGAGCCAGCTATCCTATTTATGAGATAAGAATATAGAATAAGGGGCGGGTTGGGGGGGGGGGGAGAGAAATCAATGTAAGAGTGGATGGAGGTTTGCTATTGATTTTCTTCCTAGGCCAGATTTCTTCATGGCTCGGTCAAAGGCTGGCACCAGGGTTGTTCTTACAACAGCCAAATGTGTACATTAACAGCAGCCAAATGTGTACATCTACAACAGCCAAATGTGTACATCTACAACAGCCAAATGCGTACATCTACAACAGCCAAATGTGTACATCTACAACAGTCAAATGTGTACATCTACGCCAGCCAAATGTGTATATCTACAACAGTCAAATGTGTACATCTACAACAGCCAAATGTGTATAACAGCCTAATGTGTACATCTACAACAGCCAAATGTGTACATCTACAACAGCCTAATGTGTACATCTACAACAGCCAAATGTGTACATCTACAACAGCCAAATGTGTACATCTACAACAGCCAAATGTGTACAACAGCCAAATGTGTACATCTACAACAGCCAAATGTGTACATCTACAACAATCAAATGTGTACATCTACAACAGCCAAATGTGTACATCTACAACAGCCAAATGTGTACATCTACAACAGCCAAATGTGTACATCTACAACAGCCAAATGTGTACATCTACAACAGCCAAATGTGTACAACAGCCAAATGTGTACATCTACAACAGCTAAATGTGTACAACAGCCAAATGTGTACATCTACAACAGCCAAATGTGTACATCTACGCCAGCCAAATGTGTACAACAGTCAAATGTGTACATGTACAACAGCCATTTAGTACACATATAACTATAACAAATTAATGTGTACACATAGAACTAATACATGTGTACACATACAACAGCCAAATGTGTACCGGGTGCTAGTTGTGTGCGGTTTATATCTGATCAATTCCTTTTATACGTGTTGATCAAATTGTGTTTCAGGTTTTGTCAGTCTCATCTGTCAGCTAACGTGTCTTTGTTATATGACAGTCATCTGCTATTTGACATTTTGTGTCAGTGTCATCTACTGGATAGTGTGACTAAAAAGATGGCTGACACATGGAGTCTTAGGCACATGTCTCCTGTATTGATTTCATCATGTTAGCGTCATCATACTGTCGTCATCAAAGTATCGTCATCAAATTACCATCATCAAAGTATCATCATTAAATTATCATCATCAAAGTATCGTCATTAAATTATCGTCTTAAAATTATTGTCATCAAATAATCGTCATAAATTATCATCATAAATTATCATCATCAAATTATCATCATAAAATTATTGTCATCATCTTAATGTTATCATCATTAAATTATCGTCATCATGCTATCATCATCATGCTATCATCATCATTATATTGGCATGATGCAATGTTAAGCAGGTGTCTCCTTGGTCAAGTCATCTTCATCAAGTTATAGTCATCGTGCTTGGAAGATAAAGGGTGAGGGCTGAGGTCTGAGGGTACGAGGTGGTCTGGGGGTACGAGGTGGTGAAAGAAGAGTCAGTCCTCAGTCAGAGAGATGGTCTAAGATCCAGAGATGGACTTGGTATAAAAGATTTTCAGTAAGCACCACCACCACATACTTTTGTATTAGGAGGACTTGTATCTCAAAGTTTCCACCACCCCATAAACTTCTCAAACTTTATATAACAGTACACAACATTACAAGTCAAATAACAGTATTTTATTAATTGTTAGGATCCATTTCTGTTATACTAAAGCCTAAAGTTTGTAATGATATTGAGCAATGTTTGCTAATAATTACAGAAAACAATATATCCCCAAATTGTTTGGGGTAGGCCTAATTGTTTAAATTTAAACAAGCCTCAAGTGAGTGTTTGAAATTGACTAATCAGTAGATTTGGACAGAAAAAAGATAGGGCCAATGTATAATTGTATTACCTACGTCCCTAGACTTTACTCAAATTAAATTAAATCCAGCCCTGTTTGCAGTCCACACAGAATAGCCTATAAACAGTTGACAGTGAATAGCATTATTAGGCCTATAAATAGTTGACGGTCTATTTCTACAGTCAACGGGTAATAGGCATCCAAAATTTCCAAAATTAACTGCAAGCCATGAAATTACTATTTTAAATTTAAGAATGGATAGATTTCAATTAAAAAATCATACCCGTTTCAATAATTTTTAATACTTTTACTTTAGCAGATACTATCAGTTATTATTCCTGCTTCCATCTGCATTTTTTTTTGAGTTTTTTTTTTCTCTTTTTGCAATGGTGTCGCAAACTATGATCGTAACTTTAATGTCTTTCTCCTTATACAATTATACACTTCCATATGTTCTAAAATAAAGTTGGCATATAATTCTCTTACTGAACAGATTCCCTAATAGACAGAGGTAATATCTGCCACCGTACCATATGGATCTGAACCATGGATTTACACTTAAAGACTGACAGTAATGCAATATTCCACCAAACCACAATGTGTTGTGTCACTTTAGTTATTTTTAATAGGGCCTACTAAATCTTTTGATAAAAGTTCTGACTAGGAATAGGGGTCATCCATAAATGATGTCACACTCGTAGGGGGGAGGGGGGGTCCGTAATTTTGTGATGATGTGTGATGAGGGAGAGGGGGGGGTTTAGATGGTGCGACGTCACACTTTTGCATTATAAAAAAGCAATGTTAGAAAACGAATTTTAGACGTTATTTCACGTTTTAGATAACTGTTTTAATAAATTGTAATAGACAAGATTTTGGAAAAATATCGATGTTTTAAAAAAATTCAATTTTGAGGGTGGGGGGGGGGGGGGTTGGTGTAGGTTGAGGTGTGACGTCATTTTAGGGTGGGGGTCTGGCTTTTTGTGACGACGTGTGACGGAGGGGAGGGGGGGGGAGGTAAAAATCGTCAAAAAAAGCGTGACGTCATTTATGGATGACCCCATAGACCCTTAATTTTTTTATATATTAGGCTACATATTTTAGGACAATAGAATCGACCTTTTGAATCATTAGCAGAACTAAATCCCTGGGTGGGCATCAAACAACCAGTGCAATAAATAAATTAAAAACAAAAGCCTAAAATATTTTAAAAACAAGTGCCTAAAAGACTCAAATTAAATTAACATTTTTTATAGGGGTCGATTGGCTGCATTTGCCATTAACTTTTAAATGGACCGCAGGCTTTCTGGCTAATGACGCTAATCTGTTCAATAAATATTATTTAAATAGGCCTAATAAAATTAGCCTATAAATAACCTAAATGTACAACTGCTAGATCTAAGCCTGGGTTGGGTAGTGATAGACATAGACAAGGCCTAGGCTGCCTAGGGCTAGGCCTAACGCTAAACTTATACGGTAATCTATCGTTTTGGGTACGTAAAATCGCCCGCGGCTATTAATGTACGAAAACGTTACCTCATTGTCAAGGCTTTAATATGGGTTTATTGTCATATGTTTGTGTCAAATATTATAGATACATGAATAATAAACTTAAATCAATGGCTAAATATATCGATATAGGCCAGAAATTAACTTTAAACAGCAGTGTCTGACAGCAAGATTTGCTATATAAACAGCAGCCATTTGTAAAATAGAGTGGCTTCCCCCTGAATCTCCCGCTAAAAGCTTATAAAAATAAAACTTAAACAAGATGGCTGCTATAGTAAATGAGCATGGTTGCATCTGTTGGAAACATCGCTAGTCTTCATTTATTACGGAAAAGTTTTAATTCAATTGTTTAAAAACAGGTACATATATGAAACAAGGAAACATTTTTGTATTTTAAAACACATAAATCCTCCTCAAAATGTGAAATAATTATTAAAATTTAAGGAGTCACCTGGTTTTCACATTGCAAGTCGCGGGCGATTTTACGTACCCAAAACGATAGATTACCACTTAATCCCACTTATACTTATACTAAGTTCCAAATTTTGCCTACAGTCCTACTGATTTCAGATTTAATTTAGATTAGGAAAAAATAAAGAGATATTTTTTTTAATTTAAATTAAATTTAGTTCCAGTCTGAGTTTAGGCAGTGAATCTCTATCTAACTATCTATAATCTATAGTTATATATAGGCCTATAGAATCTATAGTATAGCTTTTGAAAGCAGTGAGTTGAGTGAGTTGAGTTCAGTGAGTAGATCTGGAGATTCGAATAGATCTATTGTAGTATTTCTTATCAAACGTAGGCTACAATCTATTTGAATCTAGATCTATATCTCTCTACTTTACTTACATGGCTGTGTGATCACGTTCTTATGAATTATACTCCCGCTAAACAAGTGGAAATTCTGTGCACAAGTTACACGGCGTAGGACGTAGATCAATGTTTATATTATGGGAAAGTGAAGTTAGCCGTCCTGTTTACATGCATCATAATGAGTTTACTTTTTGTTATCGTTTAGTTCTGACTGACAAGAGAATTTTATACAAGTCGCTACTACTAGAGCTAGAAACAATATATTTTTTATATTTTAAACTATTTTATTTTGATATAGGCCTACTTATAACGATGATGTATTTTGGATATTTTTCAATAATTAGCCAATAACCATTTGAATTTATTTTTTTTTAATTTGCTTTTGAGTCAATGAATTATGTAGACGTCAATGGCTTTAAGAGTTTAAGTGAATTTATTCATAAAAAGTAGTCTAAAAGCTTGATGAATAATTAAGAATGTAATTTGTTATTGTTCTTTTACGTAGCCTACTCTATTCTACCCAGTGCTAGAAAATAGAACATACACCGAGGTGATTCGCGGTGTTTTACTCTTTGAAGCCCCTTGGACAATAGCTTCACACATTTAGGGGTACTAGTGGAAAAAAAATTACTTCACATGTACGATGTAATCTATGTGTAGGTCTATAAGCCTTATTGTATATATATATATATATATATATATATATATATATATATATATATATATATATATATATATATATATATATATATATATATATATATATATATATATATATATATATATATATATATATATATATATATATATATATATATATATACGCACACACACCAACTGCAAATACAAACCAGTGCTGAAAAGAACTGAAAAGAATAACACACACAAAACTTTTTTTACAACTCTGCAATAAATATTAACTTCACATAATGAGATATTTAAAATAATTTAGGGAAGAGGATAACAGAAGGGGAAATAATACAACCCCACCGCACCCAACACCGCACCCCACATGAACAACAACCCAAACCCCACACAACCCGCCCCACCACGCTACTACAAACACAACACATCCCACTACACCACATAGCATGACCCAAACCTCACCCCACAATTCCCACGAATACGATCAACACCATACCATTTACCCCACATTAAACATACGACTCCCCATACACCACACACACACACCACACACACATACACCACACACACATACACAACACACGAATTTGACCAAAACCGTAATCACCTCACTCCAATTGCACGACGCCATGAACCTCGCTCCCACAAAACACCGCCCCCACACAACACCGCCCCCACACAACACCGCCCCCACACAACACCGCCCCCACACAACACCGCCCCCACACAACAACGCCCCCACACAACACCGCCCCCACACAACAACGCCCCACACAACACCGCCCCCACACAACACCACTCACACAAAACTCCCCCACACAACACCGCCCCCACACAACACCGCCCCCACACAACACCGCCCCCACACAACACCGCCCCCACACAACACCGCCCCCACACAACACCGCCCCCACACAACAACGCCCCACACAACACCGCCCCCACACAACACCACTCACACAAAACTCCCCCACACAACACCGCCCCCACACAACACCGCCCCCACACAACACCGCCCCCACACAACAACGCCCCACACAACACCGCCCCCACACAACACCGCCCCCACACAACACCGCCCCCACACAACAACGCCCCACACAACACCGCCCCCACACAACACCGCCTCCCCACAACAACGCCCCCCCCCCCCACACAACACCGCCCCCACACAACACCGCCCCCATACAACACCGCCCCCACACAACAACGCCCCCCCCCCCCACAACAACGCCCCACACAACAACACCACACACAACACCGCCCCCACACAACACCGCCCCCACACAACACCGCCCCCACACAACACCGCCCCTACACAACACCGCCCCCACACAACACTGCCCCCACACAACACCGCCCCCCCCCCCACAACAACGCCCTACACAACAACACCACTCACACAAAACTCCCCCACACAACACCGCCCCCACACAACACCACCCCCACACAACACCGCCCCCACACAACACCGCCCCCACACAACATCGCCCCCACACAACACCGCCCCCACACAACACCGCCCCCACACACAACACCGCCCCCACACAACATCGCCCCCCCCCCACAACAACGCCCCACACAACAACACCACTCACACAAAACTCCCCCTCACAACACCGCCCCCACACAACACCGACCTCACACAACAACGCCCCAACACAACAACGCCCCCACACAACACCACCCCCACACAACACCGCCCCCATACTACGCCTCCAGCCAACACCATCCCCACACAACACCGCCCTCACACAACAACGCCCCAACACAACAACGCCCCCACACAACACCACCCCCACACAACACCGCCCCTATACTACGCCTCCAGCCAACACCATCCCCATACAACACCGCCCTCACACAACAACGCCCCAACACAACAACGCCCCCACACAACAACGCCCCAACACAACAACGCCCCAACACAACAACGCCCCCACACAACACCACCCCCACACAACACCGCCCCCACACAACACCGCCCCCACACAACAACGTCTCCACACAACAACACCACACACACAACACCGCCCCCACACAACAACGTCTCCACACAACAACGCCCCACACAACACCGCCCCCACACAACACCACCCCCACACAACACCGCCCCCCCCCCCACAACAACGCCCTACACAACAACACCACTCACACAAAACTCCCCCACACAACACCGCCCCCACACAACACCACCCCCACACAACACCGCCCCCACACAACACCGCCCCCACACAACAACACCCCTTCACAACATCGCCCCCACACAACACCGCCCCCACACAACACCGCCCCCACACACAACACCGCCCCCACACAACATCGCCCCCCCCCACAACAACGCCCCACACAACAACACCACTCACACAAAACTCCCCCTCACAACACCGCCCCCACACAACACCGCCCCCACACAACAACACCCCTTCACAACATCGCCCCCACACAACACCGCCCCCACACAACACCACCCCCACACACAACACCGCCCCCACACAACATCGCCCCCCCCCACAACAACGCCCCACACAACAACACCACTCACACAAAACTCCCCCTCACAACACCGCCCCCACACAACACCGCCCCCACACAACAACACCCCTTCACAACATCGCCCCCACACAACACCGCCCCCACACAACACCGCCCCCACACACAACACCGCCCCCACACAACATCGCCCCCCCCCCCACAACAACGCCCCACACAACAACGCCACTCACACAAAACTCCCCCTCACAACACCGCCCCCACACAACACCGCCCTCACACAACAACGCCCCAACACAACAACGCCCCCACACAACACCACCCCCACACAACACCGCCCCCATACTACGCCTCCAGCCAACACCATCCCCACACAACACCGCCCTCACACAACAACGCCCCAACACAACAACGCCCCCACACAACACCACCCCCACACAACACCGCCCCCATACTACGCCTCCAGCCAACACCATCCCCACACAACACCGCCCTCACACAACAACGCCCCAACACAACAACGCCCCCACACAACACCACCCCCACACAACACCGCCCCCATACTACGCCTCCAGCCAACACCATCCCCACACAACACCGCCCTCACACAACAACGCCCCAACACAACAACGCCCCAACACAACACCACCCCCACACAACACCGCCCCCACACAACACCGCCCCCACACAACAACGTCTCCACACAACAACACCACACACACAACACCGCCCCCACACAACATCGCCCCCATACTACGCCTCCAGCCAACAACACCCCCACACAACACCGCCCCCACACAACACCACCCCCACACAACACCGCCCCCCCCACAACAACGCCCCACACAACAACACCACTCACACAAAACTCCCCCTCACAACACCGCCCCCACACAACACCGCCCTCACACAACAACGCCCCAACACAACAACGCCCCCACACAACACCACCCCCACACAACACCGCCCCCATACTACGCCTCCAGCCAACACCATCCCCACACAACACCACCCACACACAACACCGCCCCCACAACACGATCCCCACACAATACCGCCCCCACACAACACCGGTCCACACGTCGCCAAATGCACTGTGAGGAGGGAGGGGACAGTATTCCTGTTTTTCTTGATCTGTGTAGATTCCATGATCCGCCCTGTCTGGTGGTAAACTACTAGATCTATATAATTATACTTTCCGATTTCCTCCGCGTCTGTCCTGTCAGTCTCTACATTCTGGGATCTCTCACCACAACCTGCCGGAGCACCAATATTTCTGAGAAGCGCAAAAAGTTTTCTATTTTATCATTCATACTTGAAACATCATTTGTTCAGGAGTTATGGATTCTTGTGATGCATTATAAGTTTGTTTTTAAAACCACGCAAAGGGATGTAACTCAAGGATAACTCTAGAAAGTTTAGCACAGAGTTGCGTTAGCAAATTGGTGAAATAAACGCCAACACAGTAAAGCTATATTTTAAAAAGAGTCTTTGTTTTAGCAAGCGACAGGTGATAATATTGGTTTACATTTAAGCTTTAGCTTCCACATATAGTTTATTGCTTTCATTTTAATAAAAGTAATTATTGTAAACTAGATGTTTATCTTATCGTCACAATCTTTTTTCTCATTAGCTCAGTCGAGGAGGGGGGAGAGGTGTTACTTGAAACTTCCATGGGTCGTACTTAAAGTTTCCGGGTAGGGGGGGGACGGTCAAGGCCAATAGTTCAAGTATAGATTTTCATGTATGATATTTTACGATCCTTCAAAATGTGTTTACTTTATGATTAAACAATAAAGACAAACGAGGATCTATATTTTCCTTAGCAATACAATGATGATGGAGGAACAAAAATAATTAATCGATACGTTAGTAGAGGAAGAGATTTTCAAACATAATGAACTAAACTATCTGCATTATTAGTTAATGAATCGAGAGTAATAGACAGTCACAGCTACACGGTGTTGTTTCCTTCTCATTAAATGGCGCATTAATGACTTATTTATAAACAAGCAGCAAAGCTTTTCGGACGACAAGCATAACAATGTAAATAAATGCACAAATTATTTTAAAACTATAAAAGTCATTGTGTTATGTTTTCCTATACCCTGTAACTCGTCTTGGCTTGTCGTTTTTCGGTATTTCTTTGGTTGCCCCCCTTTGCCCCTGTTAGTTTTCTTTTCTTATCCATGCGATTTAGACTTTAAGCTGTCTAGGTCAGTTCCCAAGGATAAAATTTCTGTTTAGAAACAAAAACATTTACAAAATACAGTAATATATTATTCATTTTTGAATACCCTTGATTAAAGATGGTACACTACCTCAGTGGTGTTTAGTTAGGACAATTTGATGCAGACAGACATGTATAGTAATACCGGTGTTTCTTCCAGACTTTTTTCTTCGGGGAGGGGGGGGGGGGGGGCGGACAACATTTTCAGAAGGGGGCGGACACTGGTAGGCCTATGTGTTTTCTATATAAATTCCATTTCGTTCGGGGGATTCCGCCCCCCCCCCCCCACAAAGAAAGTCTACCCCCCCCCCCCCCCCCGAAGTTGCCTGGAAGAAACTCTGTATAATACCCTCCTTCCCCTAGTTAGGGCTTTAATTAAACCGTCACCATTTCACCATTTTTAGGTATCTAAAATTCAAAATTGATAATTCGTTTAGGGGGTCATCCATAAATGACGCTTTTTGACGATTTTACCCCACCCCCCTCCCCTCCGTCACACGTCGTCACAAAAAGCCAGACCCCCCCCCTTAAATGACGTCACACATCACACAACTCAGCCTACAACCCTCCCCCCCTTCCCCCTCAAAATTGCTGTCTGAACTCTGTCAACATAGACAATTTTGATCAATTCCTATTACAATTTATTAAAACCGTTTTCTAAAACGCGAAATAACGGCTAAAACTCGTTTTCTAACATTGCTTTTTTTTTAATGCAACAAAGTGACGTCACACCATCTGATCCCCCCCCCCCTTCCCCCTAATCGCACACCGTCACAAAATTACGGACCCCCCCCCCCCCTCCCCCTAAGAGTGTGACGTCATTTATGGACGACCCCTTAAGCTGCACGCAGAGGTGAATTTATAACAAAATTGATATAAATTTTTAAAATGTTAACAAAAAGCGGAATAACTCCTAGGCCGAATTAAAATGCAGTGACTATTAAACACAAAACAGTTCAACATATCGTTGAAACCTCACCCTCTTCCCCGGTCAAGTTGGCCCACACCCACATTGTTCTTTGTCTTCCTATACAAAACTACCACGTAGAAACATGTTGCACTATATGATTGGTTTAGCCACGTTTAACGTTCAATAATTATTGTTGCATTGGTTATAATGAAAATTATGACGTTTGGTAATTTGGCGGAAGTATTATTATTTGATTATTAGTTCTGACCAGTTTTATGTTCAACTGAATGTTTTTTTTTCTATATATTCAGTAAATATGTTAATAGTCTAACCAAGGACAATTTCTCATGTTATTTTTAACGACAGATGTCGTGTCACTGCGCATGTCACAGCTGACGTGTTATAATTTTCTTCCGGTACATTGTTTATTATCTGAGAAACAGGATCAGAAGTAGAGGAAAAGGAGGCAGCAGAACGAATTTGTAAGTTGACCTTTAAATAAAATCGTATAAGATTTGCTAACATTCTGTTCAGCCAGGATTATGTAGATATGCAGAAAGCAAGTTACAATTAATATTATTAAATGCAAAAAGAATGTTTAGGTCCTCTATTATTAAAATTTAAAAATGAATGCATGATTTTTACAATTTTTTTTTTACTTAACCCACACAACACAGCCTGCACTACAGTAACAGTCTCTTCTACTCAGGGTAACTGAGTGTACGTACTCAGTACTGAGTCTAGGTTTTCCCACCTCCTGTCAACAAACACAACAGTTATTGTCAACCATTGATTGTTGTTGGCACTGCCACTACTAGACTAGCTAGATTCTAGATCTAGAATCTAGAAATTTAGATTAGTTGACAGTTTCACTTTCATGCAGTTCTAAACCAGGAAACTATCTAGATCTATAAAAAATCTAGATCTAGATTCTAGTATTAACTATTATTATTAATTTATTAATAATATTATTAGGGCCTATTAAATAATATAAATAAGTGGCTTTTAAGTGGTATTCACAAAAACTTTGAAAAGCAAAGCATCAATGGTTTTTAGACAGTGTTGTAACTCAGTGGTAATCTCGGTAATGGTATTCTAAATCTACAGGGACTACTAAATCTATGAACTATGAATCTATAACTGTTTGTCTGTTGTGCATTGTCTTCAGGGTTTCTTTCAGACTATTTTCTTGGTAGGATGGAGGAATTTTTAGATTATGTTTCTGATGGATAACTTCTACAAATGAACTATTCTTTTTAGGTTTACTTATTTATTATATTTAAGTTATTTTATTGAGCCTTACACAAGTGCTTAAGTTTAAGGAATGTTTCACTAGTTACATTTTAATTTATATAAGTACAATTTCAGTAGTTGTGAAGCACAACACACCATACAAGTAGTAATCATAGTAAAATGTTTGTAAATCTAGCCTATGTAGTGTAATAGGTGTTTAAGTAGATCTAGTTATTCTTAAGACAGCTGCTATGAGAATTTTGAAAAGTATATATTTTCTAAAGCAATTTAATATTTATTGATTACCCCTTCCCCTGTGTTATATTTTGTTTAAAAATATCAGATTATTTTATGATGCAATACCCACAACTATTGCATTTTACGAATAGATTATGAAATGTTGTATACTCACTCTTAGTGATGCTATCTTATACTTATAGATTAATAAGAAGTATTTGCAGTTAAGGGTTATATATTTTTTCAGTACTGTTCTGGTTTAGATGAACATAAAGAGAACTTTCAAGCAACTAACTTGTTTTTCAAATCCAGTACATCTTTAAGTGAAAGTTCACAAAGCAGTTCGGTTTTAATGATTTTAAACAAGATCATTGTATTTATCTTATACCACATTAATACATTAGGTATTCATTTTATTTTGTAATTTAGTTTTGCTGAAGTCAAGTCAAGTTGAAGGATCAAAGATGTCAGACTTTGACCCATGTGAATGTATTGATATCTACAACCATGAAAGTGCCATGAGAAGGCTAATGAACCTTGTAGGTATTGTTTTTACACTAAGCGTTATATAATATGAAGACTTTCTTAAAGTGGTGATAATTGCTGATGGTTACCTGGCAACATGTTTTTTAGATTTCCTCCTCATTGATTAGTGTGTAAGATCAAACTTTTCCATCCGCAGCTAAGGGACTCTCAAAATGCTTGCACTGATAGTGGCTGTGATCCCTGTAAGTAACACATGAATTAGTGAAATTATAAATAAAACTGACCTGGACTTGATGTTTGTTACTTTGTTTCTTAATTCATATGGTAATCATTTCTTTTCTCAGTACCTTCAAATCCACTAGCCCCAAACGGTGCTGATGGCTATATGATGCTGATGTTGGGTTGGGTTGTTGTGGCAACTCTGTTGTATCTACTGCGGCCCAAGAATCTGCGTCTGCGTGGTGATGAAAAGCCAGCACCATCAGGGGTTGGTGACATTGTTTTTGTATTGTTGTTTTTTGTTTTTATTTGTTGGCTAAATCTTTAAGCCCGGAGTTATTTTCACTTTTTACAGTAATTATTTTTTTAGTACATACGCAGCAAAATGACTTGTATCTTTTTACCTGTTGACTTAATAACTCAGAAATTAGTAATATAAATTAAAACATTATTGAATGTTCTAAACACTAATATTAAATATAAGTAATTATTTAATAATTGAAGATAGATATTAACTTTGTTTTATAGATAAAAATATATAAAGAATTAATTTTTTAAGGGGAAGAAACATACTCCTGTCGGAAAAATAAAAGCTAAGAATTATTTTTCATGATTTCTTATTAAAGTACAAATATTGTTTTCTACAAGAATCATGGATTGGATTTGTATTAGCATAAAAACTTTAATTTTGGTTAAGCCTCTGCTGCTGAACAGCCTTCCGCATTGTTAAAAAAATGCCAGTCTGCTATAGGTTTTTAAAAACTATTCTATTAAAATACAAAATCGATCCAACGAGAAAACTACAAGATGTAAATACAACAAAAAAATGGCAAGTCTAGCTATATCATTACCTAGGTTTACGATTGAAAACCTGGATTAGGAAAAATACAGAATTAGAGAAAATAACAGAACTGTCTGCAGAGCGTCATTACAGTCCTAAAAAGTAAATAATTTAGCTCCACATTGACCTGATGTTTTTCCTCGTCTACCTCATATTGGTATTTTTTGTTAGATAATTTGAATACATGCTGTGTATTTCTTATCTCCTCAGTTGTGTACTGCAAGTTGGTATATTTTGTTGAATATTTTGACCCTACATTGCATGTGTTTTCTCTCCTCAGGATGGAACTCCTCCTCCACCTGCACCATCTGTGCATTAAAAGATCTGGGATCAAGTCAACTGTAACATTCTTCTCCTTGCGGCTGTGAAAATTTTATCCCATTTTTGGTTTCAACATTCTAATTTTTTATCAACCAAGGACAAATAACACGACTTAAAGTAATGTTTTTGTTATCTTCAAAATCCCACTTCAGATAATCTTTTTTCAAAGTGAAAAACTACAAATGTTGAACCGTTTTAATTTTTGTGATTATATCAAATAAATATTGGACTACCTGGATGCAATAGACTGTTTTTTTTCTAATATACTTTGTATGTTACCGTCTTATGTATCTGTTTAATCAAAGAACTTAAAATTATGTTATCCCTGCATTGTTTGTGTAGTCTTTTTTACTATCTTCCTGTAAAACAATGATGTTTTGGCCAATTAATTTAATTAGGGTGATGGTAGTTTTAGCATTATAAATTTGTCTTTAGTTAATTAGATGAGGTGGTCTTTTGTGTTTGCATTGTTGCTTGAGTGATGGAAAATCTTAATTATACTATGACTTACCTAAAATTCAACTGATTATTCTCATAACACTTTTTGTATTAAGTTATTTTTAGAACTTGTTATGGTTTTTTTTTTTTTGCATTTATATTTAAATTTATTTCAGTCTGCTAACCTGTTAATTATGTACATTATGTACAGATATCTTGATACAAACGTCTACACCAGTGTTAAAAATTGCTTTGTACATTTTTTTATGTATATATGCAACAATTTTGACAGCAGTACAATATTTCTCTGCCTTGTAAATGGACTGATTAAAGTTTACAATTTTGGATTACAATAGTATAAGATAAGAGTACGTTATAAGGATTATACATTGTTAGTTACTCAAACATCAATTCACTTTGTATTGACATTCTCTTTCAAACATGTTAGCACCAGGCAGTGAGAAATTGTACTGCTGTGACTGCTGAGCAGGCCATAGAAGTAAATTGAAAGTGGGCTTGTTTTTTTTTTTTACTTCCTATGGTTGTTCATACTTTTGTATACTGTGTAAATATACCAGTCTAACTTTTACATATTAAAATCTGATACAAATACAAGAAATATTTAACCAATACATATTCTGCAAAAGAACCTGTCTGCGTCAAGGTCTTCAGAGACTGCAACCTTCATGGTATTATAACTTTTTGTAAAATGGAACTAAACTTAACCTACTCCTACCATGTTTGGGTATTATATTTTAATTGCTTGTCTCTATCAAATATTTTAAGGGTGGACTTGGATTCTCATTTGTTGACACATTAAAGGGTATATGGTTAAAAAAGTTGTGTTGGTTACAATTTGTGTGTACACCCACTTGATTTTTACTGTGGTGTAGTTTGTGTATTGCTGTCATGGACTATGTTGGCTGAAAACTGCAAGATATTCAAGTGAATTAATAAATAACAGACCCAAAGCAAAAATCTTGGACATTTAATTTCAGTGATTACTTGCATACAATAACATAAAAGTGTAACAGTACCAAGTTAAGCATAACATTTCTCAATCAAGATGCACACATCAACATACAAAGTGCATAAAATGTTGACATTTTAGATCCCCTTTTACTAAACCATCAATTGTTTTGCTAGATCATAACATTTTTCTAGTTTAAGAAATGTATGACCACATCCTAGTTATTTGTAATATTACATTTTCTATCACAAAATCCTATATATCAACAAACCACAAGGTATTGTTTTAGGAGAAAAACCTTTTGAAAAATGACAACTTTTGAAAACTCAATCAGGTTTAACAACTGAATGAAATTACTGCATAATGTAAAAGAAAAGATTGCTTAAATGATAAGCTGAGTCATTACTGCGCAGAATTGAGAAAAAATATGCAGCCCAAAAGATCAATATTTTCCTATCAGCTGTTGTCAGGCCAATCAATAAACATATTAACACGTGGCATGGTAACACCAGATACAACTGTTAGAGGTACTGCAAACAAATCGTTTCTTTATCAACTACATACATTTTCTGATGATTTAATTATGCTTTTTGGACATTTCTAGTAATGAAATTTATGAGCTTCCAACCTTCAGTAGTGTTAGCTAGTATAAAAATGATAGTTTATTTAAACACAAATATGGCAGAATCTTTTCTTTAAAAGGTGAGAAATGCCAGCAGATCTAGCTAAAGCTTACTAAGTTAACCATCCTACACATTATCTTCGAACATCAAAGATGCTCTTAGTATAAATCCCATACTACGTAAAAATTATATTATCATGTATGGTCCCAATTTAAGCACAGCTATTCATATTAGATGATACAAATTCCAAGGAGAAGCTCATTTAAAATTTTGTACACTATTTTTCCCTAATGTTTAACTACTACAAAACTTTCATACTTTTTCTTACTTAAATTTCTTTTTATATTGTTAAGTGTTTAACAAATAAAATAGTAAAAGCATCATTTAGAATAGAATTGTGTGATTCGTCTCCCCAGCAAAAAGGTGATTTCCCAAATTGCAACAGAAATTAATAACCAAATGTTCTAGGACCTAATTCTGAAGAATTTCACAAAACATTATGTGACAAAATTACATTTGGGTTTTATTTCAAAGCGTAGGAACTGTTTACCAAAGGTGTAATTATTTATATACAACAAAGAATTAAATTCTATAATTTGTACTTCATAAATGATGCTGCTACTTTTTAACTTTATTTCTAATTAAGTCTAAAAGATCTTTCATTTTTTCAAATGTTCCAGTGGAGTTGGGCAAGTTTTCAAATGGTATGTGTTCCTCAATGTCTTTTCCAAATTTGGAGGCGTCAGGAAGTTTTATCTTTTCTCTCACCTTGAAAGAAAACGTTACAAGAAATTTTAATAATTTTTCATCAGTTGAAAAGCTGAGTTTCTGCGTTATACTTCATAGGACCCTCTGAGTGTACCCAGCTCTGGTGTTTGGGAAAATTATGATCCTGAACCTTATTTTCTTAAAACTATTTTTAATGATCCATGTGCTAGATAAACGCTAGGTGATTCAGCATAGTGCATGCAGGTGATGTGATAAAGCTACCTACCAAAATAGGGGTACCGAAGTCCTTGCTCAAAGAAATGGTTGAGGAGGATCTCAGCATATGGCCAGATTGTGAAGGTGTGGCTGCTGCTGACTTGCTTTCAGATTCTACTGAATCATTTGTTCTCTCCTCACCTTCGGCTGGGGCTGTATCTGTTGGAGTTTCATAGATCATTTATTTGAAATGCGACTAACTGAATCTGAAGATGATGATACAACTTAAAAAGTGATCTTACCTTCCCCTTCTTCAATCTTGGCTTTTTTAACCTCAGATTCATCAGTATCTTTCTCGTGTTTTCTTTTCTTTGAAGGCACCTAAACCATTCAAAGAAATAATCATTAAAACATCACATTGTAAAACAGCATCTTTAAAAAAAAAACAGAAATCTGCCTCAAAAATATTTTTACAATTTATTTAGTTTCTTGATTTAACTAAAACGTGATCAAGTTTGGATTAAAACTATTTACCTTTTCTGCAGTCTGAGACTGAGCCAGTAAGGTTTTCTTCAGCTGGTGTTGCTGTATTGGGGGCATTTTATACAGGGCATGCTCCTAATTGGACAAAAAATAGTTACAATATAAATACATTACTTTACAATAAACACTCACAAAAACTGCTAATATCTATAATATAAGCGGCTAGGTAGTGTGTCAGTCCTTCCGTCATCGCTATAGATTTTGGGACTATAAAAGTAAACTTCGCACCATGCTGTGCTTTTCAGTGCACCGCAGTGTCTTATTATAAGTATTAGAGTAGGGTTTGTTTATATAGCGGCATAGAGCTATTTTATAATTTCCACTGTTTGTACAATTTTGCATAACTTAAAGAAAATATTAAATATACACACACGGCTAAAACATATTAAAAGTATCAATGTCAAATATCATTTTCGTTTATATTCCCAGAAAAAAATGGATACATTTCAATAACATAATAACAGTACGGTAGAAAAATCAAATTAATATAACTCTTTTTTTCTAATTTTGACAAAAGAGGTAATTTAAAAATACATTAAACTCACGCTAATAAAAAATGTGAATGCAAATATACGGTCGTCATAGAAGGAATTAGTGTTGCAATAATATAATTAGCAAAATGTGAATGCAAATTATCCGGATGTGTAAGAGTAAATTATTGTTAGAAAATTATAATTAGCATGGATTGATAAAAGGCAATCTTTTATTTATTTTATTCACTGAATGTAGGCCCTACTGTTTATTACTTATAATTTTGAATCAACTATTCAGCACTATTATAGACGCGTCATCACGTTCATCAGGTGCGCAATGGTTTTAGTTATGAAACTCTATTGTAAATTTTTAAAATTTAAAGTGCTGGAAATAAATTGCGTGAATGGATAAAGTGAAATATTGTATATATTATAGATACTGACTATTATTTATACTGTTTTCTAATTATTATTCTATCTTTCGGGTTTTATAGGAGAGGCGTATGGAGGGGGGGGGGCATATGTCCCCGGGTGCCGACCTTAGGGGGCGCCAAAGTCGGGTGGAAAAAATTTTGCGAAGGGGGGGGGGGGGGGGGTGGATATCGAAAGTTTTAGGGCGGGGGGGGGGGGGGGGGGGGGAAGGGGTGCAAATCGAAAGTTTGAGGGGGTGCAAATCACCGGAAAGGGCGCAATTTGGCGCTACGGGCTAGACTGTGAGCAATATGCCTTAATGATTACATTTAAATTGTGTTTATGTTATGAGTGTTATAATTGTTTTTTCGTTTTTTTTTGTTTTTTTTTTTTGCGTTCGTTTGTGTTGTGTTTAGTTTTGTTCTGTTCTGTTCCCAAGTTGGTACATTTAAAAAAGATTTACCGTGGCGGAGCACGGGATGCAGCTAGTAATACTATTAAAATGCAAGTAAGATTATTAAGCCATGAAAGATAGTTTAGAAAAATAATTAAGTCTAATTTTAAACCTAGCTTCTTAAAGTTAATTTGTTGAAAATGAATATTTTTTAACAAAACCAAGGTCCTTACATCCAAATAGCCATCAGGAACATCAACAGTAAATCCAGGGAACTCAATTATTTTATTGACATCATATTCTGAAATAAAAGTTGATTGTATTATTTAAAACACTTAAAAGTTTAAATCAAAAAAGTTCTCAGACTGCTAACTAAACTAGTTATCTGTTTATTACCAGTTTTACTTTCTGGGTTTTCATCATCTAATTCCCCATCCTCCAAGCATTCGCCAGTAATTAAAGTCACTGGAAGGAAAAAACATTGATAGCAATATACTATGTAAACAATTTGGTAGCAATTTAGATAAAGATAATTGTTTTTGTAGGTTCATCTCTTGGGCATCAGAAACATACTGAGGGACTTTGAGATACATTATAGTATCTGATAAGTGTAATTGAACTTCTGATTTCTCATAATTAAAGAAAATGTGGGAGTATTTGCAACTAGATATCTCTGGTCATACTTGAACAGTTTATCAGTATTTTCTAACCACCTGCAATAGCTGTCTAAACTTATTCTATGGCGCACATTTCAATGACTAGACCTTTATGCTTTGAAATTATGCAAAAGTATTGTTCTTTCCCAGAAATTTTTTTTTTTAATCAAAGATTACCAACTCCTTGTACAACGTAAAAAGTTAACATTAAGTTGGAATAACATGGTTAATAGAGAAATCCTTATCAAATGTTGGAAAAGTCATTTCAGCAGGCCTTAGGTTTTAGAGTTTATTTTGACATATAACAGCTATTTTTACTGAAAATCCAGAATCAACAGTTAATTCTAATGTAACAAAGTATTTCTAATCAAACATATCTATAAAATAAAATCAAACTTAAGGAACTAAAGAGCTTGCTTTATACTATAAATTCTCTTCTAATACTTTATTCCTAGCTCTAATACTACATACCTCTTCCATTTTTATCAAAGATTGTGACACCTGATTCAACTTGTCTTGCTTCAGCTAACCAGCCGGGTGGATAGCCATAGAGTCTCATTTTATAAATGTGCTGCGGAAGCTGGTCCTCTGCTAATCCTAGAGCTAGTTTCAAGCTATCACTGTGGAAAAAAAATAATCTCTTAGGTTACAAGGGTTGTTAAATGAGTTGCATCTATCTTTTATCTTTACGCTGAGGAGAAGCACTCACTTATCTTAAAATCAGTGACAGATAAGTTTTGTAATTTTTTTTTTTTATTTCCACTCACCGCCAATAATAGGATAGAGAGAAGTTACTCTGTTAATAAAAAAACAGGAGATAAATGATACTGAAAAATAATAGCACCTACTTGTTGAGTTAAAATCTCACTGTTTCAAAATTCTACCTGAATCTCAACCATTGTAAGCATAAGTAAACAGCTGTTTCTTATTTTAACTCAACAGAAACAGTGTGTCCTAAAGAGAATTGCAAACACAGTCTATAGAACAAACTCATTTTAAGTTCTAAAAATGATATCTTCCACACAGACAGCAATGGAGCTAAGGAGCTAAACAGAATGTTTATTTAGTGCTGACATGGCAGAATAGCTGTATATCACATACCTAACAACACCTGGCTTGAACTTTGTAAACTTTGATGCAAGATCTGGGTCCATGTGGTATCGAGATGGCCCTCTGCAGGAGAAATGTAAAAATACTATTGTAAATACATGCAGCTAGACCTTCAATGAAACATTTGATTTCATCACTATTCAAAATTTTGAAGCAAACAAAAATTCACATAAAGATGTAGGCCTATATATATTATGTATGAAGAAATAAAGTATAATTCCTATTATTAAAAGTTTGTATCAACAAATAAGTACTGGGTTCTAAATTTCTGCCACATAAAAAAACTCATTATAACTAGTACCCCGAGATTAAATACTGATGATGTATTTAATATTTTATAAAATAGTAAACTATTTTCTATCAGGATTACCTAGTCAAAATTGCATACAATTTACTGAACAATTTACAATAGGTAAAAACAGTTGCTAAGCTAGTTTAATAAGCATTTTAAGTACCAAGTATGAAACAAAATATAATGAGTGAACACTTTAAAGACATTTTCGAGTTCAACAATTCACATGGATGATGTAGATTTCAGGCTACATTCAAACCCAGTGCTGGTTAAGGACGGTAACCCCCCCTCCTTTTCCCAACCCCACCCCCCAGTGAAAGTAATCGCCTCTTAGTTACCTCCCCTAAGTTTAAAATCGTTTCAAACTAAATTATCTGCCCCTAATAGCCGTCACTAAACCCGGCTCTCCGATTGTAAACATTTAGCGTTGGCTCACCAGACCATGTAGGGGTGGGGGGTGGTAGGGAGTGTGCTTACAGCTTGGTGTTTTCTATCGTCTCCAAGAAGAGAAGTATATATATAGATAGATTGTGGCTAGAAATTCAAGTAGTTATAATTTTTAAATTATATTTGTAGTGAGTTTGGACTAAAATTTCAGAAAATATATACATTTTTTGCTAAGTAAATGAATTGTGACTAAGTGTAACAATTATTGCAATTTGCAGAGAGCTTTAGCACAACAAAGGATGTTTTCTATATGCAACAATACTGCTTTGAGCAAGCAACTAATCCTTATAAAAAATTTTACATTTTTAAATGGTGTATGAATAATGTAATGTTTGTCAGCCTTGTAAAACATAATTTTGTCTCAATAAAGCATAAAGTAACAATAATCAAGATTTAGCATAAAAACCTAAATCATGGCAGACATATACACAGGTATGTGAGCAAAATGAAACTAAGGTCATAACGAGGGGACATAAACTGAGAAAAGGCTAATAGCTATATAAAAGAATGGAGAAAGATTTATTGCATATTAAAGTTTATCTGAAAACGACAGATGAATTGTTTAGTAGAGATTAGGTTATTACTGAGTTAGTAAACAAAACAAAGAAAGTCATAAGAAAGTCATTAAAACCATCTGTGTACTTTGTAGAGCACCCCTAAATTAAAAAAGGCAGACAGCTGCTTAAGGGAAATTACAATCTAGCGGGCTAGTATAAAAACGGCTTACGTAAATTTCGGCTCAAATGAGCCAGAACTCTGTTGCTGGGCCAAGAACTCCCTACGATTAACTGCGATCCTAGAGGGCATCCTTGGCTGCTTGCAGTCATTCACAGCATGGTTTTCTTCACCACAGTTCCAGCAAGCTTGTTTTTGTCTGTAGGGTTTTGGTTGGGTTGTTAAAACAAGGAACTTAAGAATTTCATTCTGTCCCAGCAATCCTAACTGAAGCTTTACAGATCTCTTCTTATGAAAGCCCCAGTCAGCAAGATTTAATAAGTTAATCAGAAAAGTATTAGAAAATAACAGTAAGTGTTCATTAAAAAATCATACTTACTTTTTCATCGATGTCCTTTTAAGCCTATTTGTTGGGTCTGCATAGACTTCATTGAATACTTGGCCATATCTAAAAGAATGTTAAGGACTGAGCTCTTATTAAAAAATATAAATTAAATAAAGGGCCTTGATGGTATACACAAAAACAAAACTAAGCAGAAACTAGAAAATAACCTAGTTTAATGTAAAAGGGGAAGATAAACAATATGAGATGAAGACAATACCCATCTAACATGATGGTCTAATAATATTTTCAGTTATTTAAGCTAAAACCATCAAAATCATATTTTTACAAGAAACACATAGCACAGAAGTAATAGTGGTCTAGATGAAATAGCTAAAGTCCATACCAAAAACGTTAAGGTAGGATGTTTAAAAGTAAATAGCCTCACAGAAAAATATTTTCAGTTTTCTGCATTTTTAAATTTTATTACAAAATTTCTTTCATATGAATATTTTTTTTAGAAGTGTAAGACTACTCAGAAGCTGAAATGTAGGCCTACAACAAACATGTTTTTCATCTATGTCAGCAATAATGATCAGGCCCTGTCAGCAAACCTGACAAATGCCATTGGGAAGGTATCTTAATTGAAAACAAGTAAAGGATACAGAGGTATCTCCCAATTGACGTTACATCTAGTTGGTTCAGCCACTGTGAAAGGCCATCCAAGGAAGTCAATTAAAAACTGCTTATGAAATTGGCTGTTGCCAATAATCTAAAAAGAAAAAGAAAATCAATACTGTTTAACATCAAGCAGTTTATTTCACTACTTTCTGTAATTTATTGCTCTAGTAAAAAAAAATAATGTGTATACTGATAAGTTGTGTTTATTGCATAGAATATCTGTAAAAATTGTCACCCCTGAAAAATAGATAATCCATTTTTAAAAAAGTCAATATTTTGAGTTAAAACTTCCAGAAGCAAAGCAAATGGTTTCCAAACTACCAGGATTCTATAACATTGCTTTCAATTTGCAAATTAAAAAAAAAAAAACCATAAAGCTTAAGTGAAAATATAGGAAAAAACTATTTGTCACTGTTCGGTGCCTAGTTCACGGTGGCAGAACCTTAGTTCTAAAACTCTAATGGTTAGTGAGGGCAATTTGGTTGCTGTTATTATAGTAGGTTGGAAAAAAGCTTTGCAAATTTTTAGAATAATTTATTTATACTTGTTTTTCTATAACAGAAATGGTTAACAGAAACTTTTAAATCCAATAATGTTGAAAAACTGTGATTTTCAACTTTTTCATTTTCAATTTATTTAATTTACATGACACTTTTTTCAAATTCATAAAGGTTTGACACCCAAGTTGACTTTTTTTTTTACCTCCCTGCTAATTTTTTTTTTGTTCAAAATGGTGAGGAATGATTTTTAAAACAAATTTATGTTACAATTCTAAAGATTTGAAAATTTAAAAAAACCTATGCTGTTCAATCTGCATACTTTTACTAGAATTTAGTTTGGATCTTTAGAAAATGGTAAAAATTTCATAAGATCACTCATGTTTGTCTCTTTGTCCTAACGATTTAAATTTGATATCCTAACTCTTAGTTCTATGTACTGAAATAATGTATAATTTTTTTTTTGGAAAGTTTGATAAATCAAAATACTTCATTTATTGCTGTTAGCTTATTTAATTAGGTACTCCAACTTTATTTTTCATATGTATCACAAATTGGTTCAATACATAGAACTAAGAATATGGACACCAAATTTAAAAAAATAATTACCCCATGTTTCTGTCTCATTCTTTCAGTTCTTTGCTCAGGCGTCAGATTACTGTTAATGTCAATACATGAGGGGTGGCCAGGCTGAAAAAATACCTAACATTAATTTATACAGCTTAAACATGACAATAAAATCTTGCTCCTATTATATTTGAAGGTGATTAATGAGAACTTTCACCAGCTTCATACAAACAAACACAAATGGGGTGTTGGCAAGGTTCAGACAACAGTTTAAAAAGTAACCTCATAATGCAAAAGCATTTAGTGTTGGCAATAATTGTTTCAATAAAAGGGTAAACATATCCACCTCACCAACACAGCCAAAGTGTTATCATAGCAATGCCCCTCACCTCCTACTCAAGAAATCCTACGCAACACGGTGGCGTTAGTTTTCTTACATGGGCACTACTTATACCTGATGTAAACTAGTTACATTTGTACACTCACTAACTACCCACATTGCATCAAATGATGTGGCATCGTTTCACTCAAGCAGTACATGATGGTGAGAGGACAATTCTTCTCAGACCACTGTAATGGTCTGCGGTGATGAAAATAGGGTGTCATTAATGCAGATCCATCTTCTCCAACATAATATTCAAATTTCCAGCAAAGCAAAAAAAGGCAATTATAAAAGTCTTAAACATAAAATATTCAACAGACAATACTTTAAATATGAAATCAAATTAACTCTTCAAAACAATCTAACTTATCCAACACAGTTTATTCCACAGACTCACACACGCCACATGAAATATCAGAAAGCAAAATATACTTGGAGAAACTATTATTATTTCATTCTCTAGAAACATCATTTAACAAGTGCAATCTGATGCAGCATCTGCTGTTTCGGTAAATAAAAGATTTTGCTACCCAAACACATTTAGCTTTCTGAAGTTTCAACAAAAGTATCCAACTGTAAGAAATATTAATTTTATAATAATCGTTTTTTCAAGATCTTTTTGAACAGAAGTTTGAGGTTATGTGCTGAGTGCCTGTTTATTAATTTACATAAACCAAATGGTCAAATATCTCTGAGTTGGAAGCTCTTGATTTTACTTATTCAATTTACTATTGAATAAATAATAACCCTGAGGATAAAATAAAATTATGTTTGTTGATGGATGAGGTGCAAAACAATTTTCCCCATACCTTTATAAGAATTTCAGACATTGTGTCTTGTTGAACTGAATGAAACTCTTCCCAGAGTAGACCCTTGATGAACTGTTCAATTTGTTGTCTGTATTTCCGGGCAAATGAGTTGTTGTTAAAAATAAGCTGTACAGCTGGACTCTCATCATCTGGTACATACCTGTCACAATTATAGTAATGTCTTCTCAATTTAGCACATTAATTTAAAAACGAACAACTTCAGTAAGTTTAAACTATTTTTATTTATCCATTAAAATAAGTAGGCCTATATCTTTAATTTAGCTTAGAAGTTTAAAACTTGCCTTGTGGAATCCAGGATCTTGGCATAACGACGATATTTATTTCCTTTATTGAGTTAAGGGCTACTAGATTATAAAACATTTACATTTAAAGCACAGATAAATTTTAGCATTCAACATTTTAAGAATGGAATGCAATTGTATATATATACATACAACTCATTAAAATTCACTAAAACTATTACAAACTCAGATGAGCTGTCTATATTTACATATATATTTTTTCAATGGACTTAATTTTGCATTGATGTATGTCAACCATTGATAAATTAAACAACCACTAAAACTAATAGCACACAATGAATGTTAACCTAAGTTATAGCTGGCTAGAAAATATCATGTTAGAGGTAGATCTAGATCTATATATGAGAATGAAGAGGGAAGGACTCAAAAATAGTCTAAAATTTTGTAGGCCCTATCTATAGCCTATTAAGTTAATTAATTAGGCCTAAGTAGTCCAAAATTAACAAAAAGGATACGGTCATATATTAATTGTTGGGAACTAGTATTAGATTTTTTCGCTTCTTCTGCAGCTTCTGCATGTAGCTGTTCATTGAGCCAAGCAGCTTGGGCCTCATCTTCAGCTGACAATTTGATTTCCTCGACTGGCTGGGTATACATTGTTCCATTTTGATGCATCTTTTCATACCCTCCCATCATGTATTCTGACTCATCAGTAATCATTTCACTTTCATCCATGTTCATATTCATATTCATCCCCATAGCCATAGGCATATTCATAACCATGCCATCTTGGCCAACTCCCATGTAATGACAATGATACATTGACATTTCATCTGGAACTGCATACCCTGCTGTCTCTGTGCCAATGAACGTCTCTTGGTGCTGTTCTTCTTGCTTAAGTTTTTCAACATCGTTGACATCTGGTGCTACTTCAGATACCTCTACAGTACTCGCAGCTTCAGCTACCACCGTCTCTGGTTCTGATGTTTTTGATTCACTTACTTGACTTGCTTCGTCGGTCACAGGAGGTAGAGGTTCGGCTTCTGCTGGCTTAGATGCGGTTGTTTCGATCTCAGCAATGTAGTCATCTTCTGATTCACTTTCTTTATCAGATTCAAAATCTTCAAATACAATTCTTGATTTTGAATTATCCTCGCCATAGTGAATATAACTTGCAACTGCTTCTCTATCTTTTTCGAACTCAGAAAATAAGTCTAAATCGCCAAACACATCGGCCATTTTTTTTACAGTGTCGGAAATACAGAAAGCATTGCTTCCAGATTTTTAAAAAATATGTAATCAAAATTGCAATTTTATGTCAACTGAAAGGCCAATTCTAATAAAATTCACATTCGAATAAAATTATCTTCGATATTAAAACAAAAATAAAATATTAGGTTATAACATTGCAAAATTTGAATTCGAAAGACGAACAAAATTTTAATCCATAAGGGTCATCCATAAATGACGTCACGTTTTTGACGATTTTACCTCACATCTCCCCTCCATCACCTTTGCCTTTATATTTCTAATCTATATTTTTTGTTTGTTTACAATTTACTACAAATTGATGTTTATAACTTAACTTTAGTGTTCAGATTATGCAGTCTATTCCAAACCAAGCAAATTATTAGTGGACATTTGTTATAGTTTGGTTTTCAATCAAAAGTAGTCATTACTAACGTAGACTTTTTAATTCACAAGCATGAATGATTACAATGTTGAATGATTTTTGGAAAATTAACACTGTTGAGGTCCAACATTATAATGATGTTAGCAAGAAATTTTAAAAATGTAAATATGAGTATGAGCTTTTTAATTCAAAAGGTTTAGGGTCTATATAATACATATTAAAATATATTAAGGGTAATTTTTTTTTATTTGCGTTTCGAAAAAAACTTCAACTATAACGCACTAGCTTTGCCTCACTAGCTTTATTTCTTATGACTTAGCACCCGATCCAACACTCATCAAAGGTGTTGGTATAAAATGAGGCTTTTGATTTTTTTTTTTCTTTCGACTTAGTACTTGACATTTAACCTTGATATTTTCCCCACATTTGATCTGGCAAATCGTAAGCCTACCTAACTAGCCTACTTTGTCTGATCAAACAAACTAAACGAGTTTCTTTTCGGGGAGAGCACTAGGCTAAATCAGGGGACGTAGATCTAGCCATAACTAAAATAAGAAAACATGTATCGTGGGCTTTTACTCTAATAGCTAACTTCTTATTTCTTAGCCAACCTTCCTAGATCTTGAGTTCTAGAAGAGTAAGCGGACCTTCATTATTTATTTCTTACTTAATTCTGTTACATAAAAAAACAATCAGTTTTTTGTGGACCGAGTCGTGTAGATCTAGATCTAGGTCTAGTGATCTAGATCTAGAATTTCTAGCTAGTAAGCTAGCTTAAGCTAGGCCCTAACCTAAGTCCTAAAGTTATTAACTAAAGTATTAAGTAAAGAGTCAGTAAAGACTATAGAATTTAGATCTACTACTACTATAGTTACTAGTATACTATTATAATTTTATTATAATAGGCCGATGCTAGCCGGAAAAAGATACGCCTGCGCAATGGAAAGAAACTACGACTTGCCATCGCTGCCATGTTTTCAATGGTACTGCACATTCGTGTGTTTACAACCGCAGAACCCTAACACCAACCCTAGCCCTAATCCTATCCCTAACCCTAATTCTAGCCATAGGTCACTGCGCAGAGCTATCTTTTGCCGACTAAGTGGAGACGTTGGGGAGAAAAATCTTCCGAGTAGTCATTTCGATTATAATATTTAGAGTAGAGATCTAGATCTAGAATATCTGTAAGACTGTATCTAGGCTACTTAATCTAGATTCTAGAGTGAGTTAAATTGATTGTGTCAAAGAATAATTAAGAGTAGTATAATAAGATTGGACTAAGTGAAGACAATCTGCATAAGAAATAAGAAGACTGAGATCTAGATAACAAATATTTTAGTTTTCATTTTATTCAATTTTATTAATTTTAATTATTTAAGTTAAGTAATAAGTAGGCTACCCTTTTGGTGATGTGAAATGTATGAGAGGTGGGACGGAGTGATGTGTGTGAGAGTGTAAGTAACCTTACTATTATTATAATTATTTTATGTTGCTAGGTAGTGTCTGGTTTTGTTGTGTTTTGTTGTACTGGGTGAACAAGGGTAACATGGAAGTAATTGGTTGAGGGACAAGATATAATATATATATATCCAAAATTACTTCAACCAGTATATGTCCAGAGTTTCTTCCAGGCATTTCCCCCTCTCCCTCCCCCCCCCCCCTCCCCCGAATGAAATGGAATTTATTTAGAAAAAAAGAAAAATGTCCAAAAGAATCACTAACTAGATTTGTTGTCTCTATTCACTTTGATAAATGGCCAAAAACGGCCAGGGAATATGAAATATAAAGAATGTGTAGCATGAAAACCTTAAAGCTCTAATGTCATCATATTGTCAGCAGAATGTTATTGTTTTCCATTGTTAGATATACACAACCTAAACCAGTTAACAGTGTAGTGTACTAAGATGTTGGAGAAAATACTGCATCGTCAAGTTGGAACTGGGGCTTGGCATGTGCCATTATGGACTGTAATGGCAGCAGGATTTGGCATTGCTTGGCTTATTTACAAACGAGGAAAAGATTCAAATTTGGTATCTAATGTTAACATTTTAATTGTTAGTCAGTTACTATAGACCACTTACTATGTTGTGTAAATTTAAAATGATGGATCTTATGTTTAGCATTCATTTTTTTTCTCAGAAACAAAGCATCCAGTCTCAACCTCTTGAAGAAAAAGCAACAGGTGACAAAAAGAGTAAAAGAAAAGTAAAAATTTTGTATGGATCCCAGACAGGAAAAGCCAAAGTAATTTTTTTCATTAATATTACCATAAAATAATGTTGTTTCCTAACTGCAAAAATTTCATTAAAATTTCCAGAAGGCTAACACATTAATAGCAACACAGGGGGAAACTATTCATTTAGTAACATACTTATAAAATAAAATCTTATTCTTCTTATAGAAAGAGTGATGAACACATTAGGAAATATTAAAACTTTAAATTTATCTTATTTAAGAAATTTGCTGAGGTTTTACAGTCAAAAGTTGAAGAGCTAGGTCATTCTGCAGATGTGATAGAGTTATCTGCCAATTATGATCATGAAACTTTACTCCCACTAGAGGTAACTATTCTGTTAATAATTATTTCATTAGCTGGCCAAGCATAATCCTAGAAACCAACCAAAAAATGCTTAAAATATAAGTCTAACTCTATACTTAATCCATATTTTAATTCTGAGATAGTTGTGGCTAAGCAAACTTACTGCAAGTGTTCATTAGTATTTAAGTTTTTAAAAATGTAACAATGAAACTTAAAAAATAGTTGTAATGATTTCTTGTTTCCCCCTTAAGGCAGAGGAAGGGAATATAGTGATTGTGGTAGTCTCCACATATACAGAGGGCCAGCCCCCTGAAGACGCCAAGTATTTTTACATGTGGCTAGAAGATGCTGCAGAGGATTTCCGTGTCACAAAGTCTACCCTTTCAGGGATGCACTATGCTGTTGTTGGCCTTGGAAATTCATTGTACTCCGAACACTTTAACACTGTAAGCACTTTCTTTTATTCTCTAACAATCTTGATTGTAAGAATTATTATTATATTGAAGGAAATGTTTTTTTAGCTAATTAATGCATTTTTCACAATGAACATTATAATTGAGTTTATTGATTTAAGATTTGAATGTTTGAATTCTATGATGAAATATATTTTGTTCTATAAATTAGGTTGCTAAAAATGTTGACTCTTGGTTCAAAACTTTATCAGCCAATCGAATTTTACCATTGTGTCTGGCAGATGAAAATGTTAGCAGTAGTAAAAACAAAGGTATTTTAAGCTATCATTTTATTTGAAATTTTTTATATTAGTCTGTCTTCTAAATGTTCTTAATAAACTTAATTTGGGAAATCTTCATTTTAAAATGACCACCAAATATATTTTGCAGTAAAAATTTCTTTATTTTCGACAAAGTAGCTGAAAAAATATGATTGTTTTGTAATCTGTAAAAAAAAATACTTTGTTTTAGGACTTGAGGAAGATTTCAAAGCTTGGCTGGAATCTTCAGTAAAAAATCTCAGACGTGCTATTGATGGGCGCAAGGTTACAGCCAAGAACTGTGAAGATACATGTACTAAACAGTGCAGCTGCAAGACTAAAAAAGAAGGGGAGGGGCAGGGAGAGGCTGGGGGGTGCAGTAGTGATGAAGAAGAGGTTGGTAATGGTTTAAACATTTTCTGTTCAGGAGGTATTTATTGCTTGAATTAGTCTTTGGCTTTAGGAAGTTTTGTACACAGCGAGTGTGTATGTTCCTCTAAATTACTCTTTGAACTAAGAAGGGTGTCTTCACACTAAGGGATCTGTTCAAGAACACAAAGTACATTTACTCAAGCTCATTTATAAAATGTGTCTTTGAGCCTATCAAATGTGCCTAGTGCCTAGTGTAACATTGTTTAAGGTTGTCTCGGCTATCTCTTAACTATTGTGGTTTTATTCAAGAACTTTGGTTCCTGTAAAGTCATTTAATCAAGGTTTTCTCATGTTAAGTTAAGCCTTAATTTATTCAGCTCACACACAGTTATGATATTAACAAAAAATGTTATATTACTTCTTTTAAAACTTAGTTTTCATCCATACCAACAGGACCATGTTGATGATTCTGATGATGAAGATCCTACCCCTCCGAAACCTGCTATCATAGATTTGGAAGACCTTGGTAACATCATGAAGCTTTCAAAGGTTATCTTACAACTTTAAAATCATAATTTAATCATTTTAGTTTGTTTTTTAAGCAATAAGCTTTCTAAATCAGGATTGTATTGTGAGAATTAAAATTAGCCTGAATAATCCTTGAACCTGAGTGGGACTTGATCATTAATATTAACATGGATCAAAAATGTGTTTTTCTACATTCTGTCTGCTGAGTAACCTTATATATTTTTTTTAATTAATGCTATTTTAGATGAGTTCTTTTATTGCGCATTTTATATAGTTACAGATAATAATAACAAAAGTTATGTCTAATCTGTAGAAAAGTCATTTGAAAATCACATAAAAAAGTTAATTCTCATTTTGATAACACTTGCATTATTTTTAAAATCATTACTGTCAGCTTTGTGTTGATGTTTAAATTACGCTTGGCAGATTTAAATGATACTCAAGACATGTCAAATTTTAAACTTGTTCTATTTTAGGAGTCAAGATTAGCTGGTGGAGATCCTGGGGCAGATGGTCCTCGAGAAATGATCACGCCACTCTTAAGAGAATCTCTGGAAAAGCAGGGCTACAAGCTGATTGGATCTCACTCTGGTGTTAAACTGTGTCGTTGGACAAAAGTAAGTTCACTTTTACATCTTTTGTAACCTTATTCCTGTTTGTGACTGAAACCATTTGTAGCCTTATCAACTGTACAAAATAACTAAACTAGTAGGCAATGTTACTTATTTATTTGTAAAAGATGAGATTAAGAGTTAAAACTATTTTCAGTCCATGTTGAGGGGAAGGGGTGGATGCTACAAACACACATTCTATGGGATAGAGAGCCACAGATGTATGGAGACCACACCCAGCCTCGCTTGTGCCAATAAATGTGTCTTTTGCTGGAGGTAAAAAGTTCATTTATTATTTGTTGACATTGTTTTTTGACTCAACAATTGTGACATTGTCCAAAGTTGTCAATTTTTATTATTAAAAAAGTCTCTGTGTATATTTTCTAGGTTTGAATTTGTTCTCGTCACTTTAGGCACCACACAAACCCTGTAGGGACAGAGTGGAAGTGGAAGATGGATGACGCGCAGACTGTGTTTGATGGGGCCATCAACAACCACATTAAATTAATCAAACAGTTCAAAGGTCAACATTGTATACTCTTGTTTTTTTTGTTTTTTTTTTTATAGAATTAAACTTGGTTGGCATTCTGAATTTAGTAATTTTAAAGTTTTTTTTTTTACTTAACATTTTAATAATAATTGTCAATTTGATCTTGACCAGGTGTCCCTGGGGTCAAGCCTGACAGGTTTGAAGAGGCCATGAATGTTCAACACTGTGCTCTGTCTCTCGTCGGGGAGCCTATTATGTACCCTGAAATTAACAAGTTTGTTGAGCTTTTGCACAGTAAACAGATTTCCAGTTTTCTTGTCACAAATGCACAGTTTCCTCAAGAACTAAGGTCATTTTATTTCTTAAAATTAAATTTATTTTTTACTTGGCAAAGTTTTATTTATTGTGCAATATGATTTATAATAGTTTACTGTAATACTCCTGTTGTCTTTGTATTTGGAAATGTACCTGTTATTTTTTGCTTATTTTTATCTTGAGAGCTATTTCCTTTTGTTTAATTTTTCTATAGAGTCATACCTGTTTTTTTATTTTACTTTTAGGGCTAATACCTCTAGTTTATTTTTACCTTTTATGCTGTAACCTCTAGTTTTATTTTTTTCCTTTAGTGCTGTAACCTGTTGTTTTATTTTTACCTGTAGTGCTGTTACCTGTTGTTTTATTTTTACCTAGAGAGTTGCTACCTGTGACACAGCTGTATGTCAGTGTTGATGCTGGCACTAAGGAGAGCTTGAAAAAAATAGACAGGTACGCCAATCTGGTTTTTTTTACAACATTATTCTACTCACAGGATTTATTTATTTTGGTGAACTTATGTTAGACAGATTTTTGAATGATCGAATGAACAATGAAAAGTGAAAATGTCTTTAAAATATCTTTCAGGCCTTTGTTCAAAGACTTTTGGGAAAGATATATTGATAGCTTAACAGCACTGCGTGACAAGGGTCAGAGAACTGTGTATAGACTTACCTTGGTCAAAGCATGGAACACAGAAGAGTTGGAGAATTATGCTAAACTTGTCTCCCTTGGCAACCCAGATTTTATTGAAGTGAAGGTAGAATTTATTTATTATTTTGATTTCTGGTTTGATAAAATATGTGTTTTGAATTTCCTGATCTAAAAGATCACCACACTAAAACACTGACCACAGTAGGATTTGTTTCAATTAGATAAAATTTTGTAGCTAGTTGTTGTAGAAATATTCTGTAATGGTGGGTAGTAACTTCATTTTGAATATATTTACTTAGTCACATACTGTCAGGAGTAACATAGTTTTAAAAATACCTATGGAGACATATGTTATGATACATATTTTAATGTATGTATGGAGTCTCTTATTTCAACATTATGAATGTATCTAGGGAGTCACATATTGTGGGGAGTCTAAAGCATCCACTCTGACCATGGAGAATGTGCCCTGGCATGAAGAAGTGGTCAAGTTTGTCTCTGAGTTGGCAGACAGACTGCCAGAGTACGAGATAGCCTCAGAGCATGAACATTCAAACTGCTTGTTGATTGCCCACAAAAAGGTAAGAAATGAACATTCAACAGATAAGAACAAACTTTACATTGTGTTTATTGCAGTTCTTGTGTCCCATCATTAATGTTGCTGTACCAGTGATAGTAGGTCTGGACTAGCTACTGATTTGTTTACAGTAGGAATGTTTTAAATGACAATAAAGAAAAACATGATAGATTAAATATGACAAAATATATTTTTGTTTTTCTGGACTTATTGCTAAGAACATTGGAGGAAACATGACCATGTTTTTACTCTTTAGGAAATGTTTTCTCTTACATGTGTTGTTGTCCATTTAGTGAAATTTTATAAGTTAATTCTTATGTTCAAAGAATGGAGATTGGTGCTAGTTAATGCTAACATACGGTATTTTAGAATGGTCTATTTTAAATAGAATGGAGATAAGTGGTAATTAATCTAATTTTATTTTAAAATTGTCTAGTTTAAAAAGAATGGAGATTGGTGGACCTGGATCGACTACCAACAGTTCCACAAGTTGTGGCGCAGGTACCAGGACAGCAATGGTAAAGAAACATTCAGCTCTTTGGACTACATGGCGCCAACGCCTGGCTGGGCTGTGTATGGTTCTACAGAGAAGGGCTTTGATCCAGATGAGACCAGATTTTTCAGAAAGAAGAAGTCTCAGGGACAAGAGTAATTGGCTGTTAAAGGAAGAAAAAAATTCTGCAAAAATTACCACAAATATCAACCTAACTTAAAGCACTTAACAAACATAAATTCTATTACTCTGTCTTTTGAAAACTTTAGGTTCTTTTTATTTTTCTATTTCTTCTTCAAAACTTATTAAAGAAAATCATTCTTTTTAATTTTTTTGCTTAAACCCTTTAATTCACTGCCATATTCTTTATCACTGGCATTTGGTTATTTACAAAAAGAGTTTAAAATTTCCAGCAAATAAATATGTTAGAAAAAGTTAGGAATTTTTTTTTGTGAAGCATCGAGCTTAAGATTTCCTTTACCATGCAAAAACAACTAACATACAAAATATCATCTTGCATTTTTATTGTCACAAGTTGCTGGTAATAAAGTGTAACTAACAATTTTCTGATGGTGTTGTATGAATTTGGGGTCAACATAAGTTAGTGTTTGTTTCACCTCAATATTGTGAAGCCATCATATTTATCTACTCCTTTTTCTAACTAGTTTTATATTAGATCAAAAACAGTTTTAACTGCATTATTAAGTGTATTGCTGGAAATGACATTATTAGATGTTCACTATTTGAAGCATTATGATATTATATAATTTGATGGGTAACTTATCCAACTGCATCAAGAATGGATTCACTGATATTGTTTACAAAGATGTTCTTGTTTACACTTTGTTGTGGAGATTGGGAGTTGTTTTCTGTAATTCGTTTTTGGCAGGTGAAAGTTGAACTGATATGAAGACAAATCTGGTTTTATGTGCAGCACTTATTAACTTGTTGAACTTGTTACAATCTTTGACTTGTAGAGTGTAATTAAAAAGATTTTTTTTTTATGATGCTCTTTATCAGATTATTTTATCTGCTTGAGTATTTGAGAAAAGTCTTTAGTTACCTGTTAAAACAGCAGTCTATATTCAAGTACAGACAAAAATCACACAATTAGTCCTGTGTCCACTTGAACTCACAAGGAAAAGTTTTCAGATATGTTACACCCCATTGACCAGTTGTGTCCACATTGACTGTCACTTGGGTGTCAAGTGTGACAATAGCAAACCTAGATCTCAGTGTGACAATAGCAAACCTAGATCTATCTCTGGAATGGCTGACATGAACTGGCTACATTCACTCAACATTTTGCTAAACACTTGTTACATCTCAAAAGTAATAAACAAAAGAAGAAAAATGTGATGTTGTATATTTAATAGGAACAGATGCATAGTAATTCTCCACATTATTTTTTAAAATGCAAATAATGGGCAAGTTGGTACACACTCTGGCAATAATTTAGATGTAAAATGTATTAAGATGTTTTATTTTATCACCAGTTCATTTTAATAAGTAAGGAACATAAAATAGTTCAAGTTTTACAAGAAAATCCCCTCAGTACTTGCAAATATATTTCTAGCACTGTTCTGATAATTTCTTTATCCAAACATGATGGTATCAAGTAGTTGGTCAGTTTCACAAACAACAACCAAGAATTTCATCTATAAAATGTAGTACCTTGAACCAAACTTACAGAAATGTGTGGTATTTATCATTTATTTACATCTAATACAACTAAGTTGAATTCAAGTAAATAAGTAATAAAACTTTCAAGTCATTAAACCTTAATTTAGAAGTAGAAGTTTACTTTCAAGTTGATGTTTTTATTTCCCACCTATATTTTACACAATCATTTATGAATGTATCATAGAAATTTCAGATGCAAAGGATCTGCTACATCTAAAGCTAATATTGCTGAAGTGTCAAATTAATCTACCAATTAAATAAATGTAATATATTCCCTTGACACCAAAATAAAATAAATTATCCATCTGTTACTAGAGAACTAACAAGCATTTTTAATACATTCATTTAATGCATATAACAAGTTTACTTGAACAAAGCAAAGAAAAATATATATGTATGCTTTGGATCAAGATGGCATAGAGAATGACTTCTAAACTTAAAAATTATTAACGAAGAGCAAATTCCCCCAAATTGTAAAGTACTTTGACAAATATAAAATATATCACAGTGGTCTACAAAGTGTTACAAATATGTCACTTTAAAATCATTTCACAGAGGAAAAAGATGTTTAACATACCCAGGTTTTCTAACCAAAATATACTGGGTAATACTTTGTGGATGTTTATTATTGATAAAAAAGTTTCATCTTTAAAATCATTGATGATTTAGTAAACTAAGGCACACCCTACAAATTGTTCACCAGCCTAAATCTAAATAATCCTACAGTGGTGAGGGGTACCCCATGCCATATTTTTTAAAATAATTTGAAGGAAGGTTGCAATATCAAGGGTCTGACCCCCATCAAAAAAACAGTAAAGATGAAGAATTTGCTTCAGATGCAGTGCTGAGCTTGTAATTTAAAATTTTCAACAGAATAAGATCACAGAGAAGCATATAAAAGTAGGTGAGTAAAACTTTGGAATGTATAGAGTAGATATCACAGCTGCTCAAAGAGATAAATGCTCTCAACAAGCCCTGTAAACAATTGGTGAGCTCACACAACAGCGTGGGATCACGTCCGCATGGTATAAAATCATTGCAGTGGTATTACTTTTTAAATGGGTTATCTAGTTTTTATTTTAAATTAGGTGGAATTAAAGTTTTTTAATACAAAAAAATAAATTAGTTGGCTTGTTACCAATTTTAAATGTTACACGTTTTAGATAAAACAGATAATTAACAAAAAGCAGCATTTCAATTATGATTTTACTTGATCACTTATCTCTTTTCATATAAGGTAAAAACTTAATATATGCCTGATTTTTTTAATACATTTTTAAAACAAAAAAAATCTAAAAAAATGTTGTTTGGTTTTTTTACAGCTTCATTTAAAAAACACAGAATATTTGAAGATGGTATTCATATGCCAAACATTAATTAAGTACTTTGCCAATCTTAAACATTTTGTATAGGCGTTTTTAAATTCCATAATGTTTTAATTTTAAATAACATTATTTAATCTTACTACAATTTGTGGCATAATAATGTGGTTTAATCTAACACATCAAGTATCATAACAAAACCTTCCAATCAAACTCTTGTAGAGTCGGGATGGGTGGGTTGGTTAAAAGCCATTTGCCAGGTTTTGTATAGTAGGCCAGGCAGCAGAGGCAGCAGTAGGTGAAGTTACACAGTATCTGGTGCATCTCCTGTGACGTTCTGATCTTCTTACCACACAGTTGACGGGTGAACGTATCCAGGCTCCCAGCGTGGGCCACGATCAAGATGTCACCACCTAGTCAACAAATTATTTTCAATGTCACCACCTAGTCAACAAATCATTTTCAATGTCACCACCTAGTCAACAAATCATTTTCAATGTCACCACCTAGTCAACAAATTATTTTCAATGTCACCACTTAGTCACAAATCATTTTCAATGTCACCACCTAGTCAACAAATCATTTTCAATGTCACCACCTAGTCAACAAATTATTTTCAATGTCACCACCTAGTCAACAAATTATTTTCAATATCATCACCTAGTCAACAAATTATTTTCAATGTCACCACCTAGTCAACAAATCATTTTCAATGTCACCACCTAGTCAACAAATTATTTTCAATGTCACCACTTAGTCACAAATCATTTTCAATGTCTAAATTGTCTAATCTTTTGAATTAAAACAAGTTTTTAAAATTAGGATTCGTTAGCATATAATGTCAGAACTATGTACATGTCAGATAACAAAAAAACAACTAATATATACTATAGAACCTACAATAGCAATCACTAGCGGCAAATGTTTAACATTTTTAATGGCAGACTTTTATGTAGCTTGTGTTTGAAAAATAGAAAGTAAAACAGCTTTCAGTTTAATTCTTATTTTTCGGCAAAAAAAGCTTACCATCTTCCTCATGCAGCTTGAGAATGTGTTGCACAAGCTTATGGCATCTGTCATAATATTCAGGCACAGTTTCATCATGCTTCAAGTCTTTGGCTTCCATTAATGGCCTGAGTAAAAATGTATTTGTTAACCTTTTTAAATCTTATCTAACTAAGTCCTAAAGAACATTTACAGTGGAATATGTCAAATCAATATATATGGGAGAGCATGAGATTGCTAATTCCAAAAGTTCCAAGTTCTGACCACATTGTTCTTGGCTGGACAAAAACAATGGATGCAGATCCAGAAAGAAAAACAGGCTGAAACCAAGAGCTCACATATAGCATATAATATACTGACTCATAATACTTAATTATGCTGGATGAAATCCTTTCAATATTACAATTCAGTACAAAGGAGAAGATAAAAAGTACAATGAGAGTAAAATTATTGAGATCACACTAAAGTACAGGTTCAAAACTTACTTGTGTTCAGCATTAACTCTGTACCCATGGCTGGACAAATATGCAGGAGAAAGCCAACTTGGCATGCCATTCTTGTACCAGCCACACCATTCAAATGCAGATGGCTCGATACAAATTTTGGCATTGCTTTGCATACCTGCACAAGGAGGGAACATGTGATTGTGTTATTTAAACTCTATTTTAAAAAAACTGACGTGAAAATGTTAAAAAGGCAACTTGTGTATGATATTCTTTCTATTTTCATGTGGCAAATATGAAAAACATTTTCATAATATAACTAGAATTTGACTGTACAGAACAATAAAAATCAAATAATCAAATGTTTTCAAAATTGTACATTACCATCTATGACATTTTGGGCAGTTTGAACACACCGAAAAGAAGGTGATGAATAAACATGCTTGATATCAACATCTGCCCGCCTCAAAGCTTGCCCTGAAAATAAATTTAACAAATACTAACTAGCTTTAAAAACACATTAAAAAGTTAAGTTGCCCATTGGCCTATAAAACTTATCAAGTTCTTTGTAACTGTTGCAACTGTGTCTATAGATCAACCGTCCAGCAGCCTTTCACTCCTGACTGACCTCAAGTGCCCCTCAGGGTTGGATGAATTTATGACATTGATCACACCTTAATCAGCTTTAACCTTTGGGTTTATAGTCTAAGATCTACCACAACTTCACACAGTGAATTAAACATAATTTGATATTAATTTTAAATGATTTCAACATCGTTTAAGCAGTGCCTATTAATACTTGCATTAATTTTGTATCATATAAATATAATACTTCTACCAATATGAGAATTTATGAATTTGATAACGTACCTGTAGATCGAGCTTGAAACATTCCCAATTCTGTAAGTGGGCTGTCTTTAAGAAAGTCATTCTGTGAATCTCGTGGAATCAATGAAACTGGTAGATTCAAATCAGCTTGGGTGTAGTTACCTGATTGAAATTTATCAGTTAATCTGTTTGCATGTATCAATTAAAGTGCAACCTATAGTGTAACTAAATGGTTTCAAAATACAGTGTGGAACACAGAAGTTAAAACTTGGAAAAAAATGTTTAATAATTGAGAGTAAAATCAGTGGTAAAATTTTAAATAAAAGACAAATATCTAGGGTAAGGTTACCCACCCTTTTTCATCAAAGCTCCTAGCTACCCAGTTTCCCAAATGAGGTTACCCACCTTTTTCATCAAAGCTCCTTGCTACCCACTGTTTCCCAAAAGCAAAATCACAGCGTTCCCCATGACGCATTACAAAAAGTCTGCGAGTGAACTGTAATCCATTTTCTTCCTTTATTGATGATGTTTTAAAATATCTTGCTGAAGATGGGTTTCTTTTTTTTGTGGCCATAATAAAATGTGAAGCTCTGTTTACTGAATGCTGGAAGTACAGAATGTAATATGCTACTTTTCTTTAGACCGTGAACCAGTTTATATTTCTAAACAAAGGATATTGTTGGTAGAAGGTAATTCTAGATGAATATATAAGAAAAAAGACTTGTAAATAATTTTTTTCTTTGGGATTTTCCTTATCTGCATTTTTAAATCCTAATACACTCACAAATGGGTACCTTTCCTGTATTCATAGACAATTATCTTCTACCATCAATAGAACTTGAATGTATTGTGTAGGCCAACTGACATAGGCCTATACTTGCAACAGAGCAAGCAGCTTGTTCCTAAAATAAATATTACTGGAAAAAAAAGTTTCAAACACATTTGATGTAGGCCCAACAAAGAATGTTCAATAAAGTTAAGGTAAAAATATTGGATTTTTACTAAGACAAGACTCTCCTACTAACCACCCAACTCTGATGGGTACTTAACTCATATTAGGGAAACTAAAGGCTGCTGGGCATTGTGCTGACCCACACTATCTCTTCATATGCCGAGGTCACAGAAACAAGAGAACTCTACTTCACTTGCCCTATAGACCGTCAGGTTTGAAAAGGGAACTTTTTTTACTCGTACTAACCCCACTCAGCACATATGGGTATCTAGTTTAAGCTAGGGGCAAGAGGACATTAAAGCTTAGGGGGCGCCAAAATGGGTTGGAAAAAGTAATTGAAAGTTTGAGGGGGTGTGCAAATCGAAAGTTTGAGGGGGGTGCACATCGAAATCTTAGTAATCTTAGTTCTTAGAATCTTAGTTCTTTCTTTCTTAGACCTACTAGTGTTACTGTTAGCCAGTGCTGCTAGCTGTGTGTTAGACTTAGGGCCTAAATTATTAGAATTAATGTCATTAATGAATTCGGTAAGACATTTGAATGTAATGATGCTTAAATATTAAATATAGATCTAGTCAATTTGTCTGCAGTCAACAACTAACTGATCTAGACTAGTCTAGATCTAGACTTCTAGAATCGTAGGCCTACCTGACTGAAGAAAAATGAAACTGAAATGAAAACATAAAGACCCGTAGAATATTGCAGCCTATCCTAATTTTTAGAAAACTTCGGTTGAGTTATCTTTACTTTGTACTCACAACAAGCGTCAAAATGTAGCTACATAATGTCAATAATGAGATGATAATATTGATAATGTTGTCTTAATATGTAGGCTACATAATATGTAGTTGTCAAGCAGTAGCGTAGCGAGAGGGGGGGGGGCGGGGAGGACATGTGTCCCCGGGCGCCGACCTTGAGGGGGGTGCAAATCGAAAGTATGAGGGGGGTGCACATCGAAATCTTGAGGGGGGTGTAAATCGAAAGTTTGAGGGGGGTGCAAATCGAAATCTTGAGGGGGTGCAAATCGAAAAGTTTGTCCCTGGGGCCGGGCTACGTCTATGCTGTCAAGTGTCATGGGGGATTGTGAAATTTAAAACACCAAAGTATGACATTAAGTTTCTTTCACACATCTCTACGGGGGAGGGGGCAAGCAGGGTCTTAGGGCTATATGTGAGGGACTGTTTCAAGAAGCAGAATCCCCAACTACAGATTGATTTTGATGGAGGAGATAAAAATTGAAAATGGGGGAGGGGTGGGGGGAGTAGATAAATAATATGAAAGTTAACGTTGCTATCAACATGCACTGGGGAACTTCCAAAATCCTTAGGTATGCGCCATAAGATACGCATGTGTTGGGTGTTAAAACGTTTGTTATTAATATAAGTAGGCCAGAGTAGTTAGAGTTTTAAGTTTGTATTTTCTGAAAGGTGGGTAGTATTTTTTGGGCGCCACTCATCCGAAAATATGTGTTTCTTCCAGCTGTCTATATTTTCCGGGAGGGGGGGGGGCGGACACTAGTAAAAGTATATGCTTACTATATGAATTCCAACTCGTTCGGGGAGGGGGGGGGCGGTAGACTTTCTTCAGCCACATAATGACATAACAAGACATATTGGGTATTGTTGCGGCCGGAAATCTTTCAGTAGATGGATGAGACACTGTCAATATTTGCTGCTGTTTAGCGCTAATGCACACAACGATAGCGATTTCCTCAGCAAATAGTAGCACAATAAGAACTTCGTTCTGAAGTTCTTTGTCTGCAGAATGAAAGCTGTAGGCCCTATATTCGAAAATAGAGAAAACAATCTGAAATCGAACGTGATGAATGTTTGTGGTTGTGTATGTTTCTGTCTTGTACACTGAATAACTGGTCAGGGTGTATTAGTTTGGGTAAATATCAGGTGTGGTTTGATCTTGTTTGTCAGGGATTGACCAGTAAGCCTAATCTGTGGCTTACATTTAAGAGGGATATAACCGAGTCTGGCATATTTAAAACGTTTGTGTCTGTGTTGAGTTTTGGGATTGAATTAAGTATGAGAGGATGAAATTTCCGTAGTATTCTTTACTAAGGTAGGCCTACATCCACCCGTTCAAACACTTTCAGTCCAAATAAAATGTATAAATTAGTAGTTCATCTATCTGGTCCGAGTTATTTCCCCTTGTTATTATTTTTTTTCAGTAGCCTGCCTTGACTAACGATGAGTTAGGCTTATGTGTAACCAGTTATAACAAATGTAACCAGTTATAACAAATGATACTTTGTTTACTTGTCAGCTTCCTGTGTTTACTGCAGATACACACGAAAAAAAATAATCGCGGGTCTAATACAGCTAAACGCGACACGAGGTTTTTGTGAAATAAATTGTGTGCAGAGAATCTCCTGCTCGTGGGGAAAATCTAATATATATAATATATATAATATATATAATATATATATATATATATATATATATATATATATATATATATATATATATATATATATATATATATATATATATATATATATATATATATATATATGTTACGGTCAAAGCCCGAAGTGCGGCCAAACCCCGGATTGGCCGGCCAATGCGCGGATTGGCCGGCTCTCTTGGCCAAAGCCCGAAGAACTTACAACTAAGATCGTATTTCGTACATTGGCCGGCCAATGCGCGCACTGGCCGGGACGTACTGGCCAAAGTCCGAAGTACTTAAACTTGACACCGTATTTTGTACATTGGCCGGCCAATGCGCGCATTGGCCGGGATGTCCTGGCCAATGTTGTATCTAGACTAAGTTGTGATCGCGTTTTAATTATTCTGGGTGCGGTTTCATTGTGAGTAACGTATTGTTTAGCTCTTGTTTGTATAGCATTCTATATGCAAGGTGACATGGATCAAAAAGGCCGTCAGACCATGAGACAGACATAGCAAATGGCTGTCAAAAGAAAAAAATGTAAATTCATGTTAGTTTCCATATATGGGCTACAGCTGTATGTGACAGCCTCCTCCATGATGACGAGGTGAGACAATCATCAAAGAACAAAATCAAAGACAGTCGGCGTCCCCGACCACGTGCAACAAGACGGAACATTCAAAAGACTTTTCCGCGTTCCTAGAAGTTTAAAACATGATGATGACATGGATGCAAACAAATGAATCAGCTCATTGGGCTGAGAGTCTCAAATTCATTTAATTTATGAAAAATCGTTCTTTTCATCAATGAATCCAACAATCACCATACGAAGCCTTGTTTGGATGCAAAGCAAAAGTGGGACTTAGCACTTCAAATCTACCAAGAGAGGCTCTCAATAAAATAGTTACTGAGGAAGATCTTGAGAACATTGAACAAGAAATGGAGGTTGCCATAAATGCAACGACGTCCTCAGCTAACACATCTGCTGCCGTGGCGGAACGTCCAGACCAGTTGCGTGACAATAATGTGGCCAATAGATTCTGTATAGTATAGTTTGTGAAAAACATTGTAGTGCAGCTCATTCTTTTGGATCCTATGGCAACGATGTGCATGCTATTTGTGGAATACCCAATGAAGCAGACGAAGGGTACGGAGGGAACATTACCTGCAGATTGTGTCACAACAAACAAGACATCATGGAACACAAGTCAGCAGCTCATACTGGCTTGCAAAATCAAGGTGCTAAGATGCTTAAAACATCAAATACAAAATTTAAAGATGGTGAAGTAGGTGACAATGTACGCATCCGTGTTCCAGATGTTGACAGAGGTCGCGGTGATCCCCGAAGCGTGATTGCAGTTGTCATGAGCGTCGAGGGCGGTTTCTACAAATTAGGAACGGAACATGGTGTTCTAAAACAACTGTATGCTAGAAGTGAGTTTTCAATTCTTCACGAAAAACTGCTCTTATTGTCGTCAGTTGGCACTGAGGAAAAATCACTACGAACCATCGCATCTTCATCGCATCTTCACAATCATTGACTGGGGGCCAAGGCTACACTCGCTGCAATTGCACAACCAAGTGTACAACAAATCGCTGCAAGTGTAAAAATAACAAGCTGCTATGTAATTCTAAATGCCATAAAAGTTCAACTTGTTGTAACAAATGATAATATTGATTGATTGAGACTATAGTACAATAAAAAATTTGAATGTTTCTGTCTTTTACTTTAATTAATAATCAATAAAGACTTAATTTCATGATCCTACCGGCATAAAAAAAAACAAAATCTGCTCATGATCTTCTAATTAAGACTTTGGCCGGTCCACCATGGCCAGTCCGCGGATTGGCCGGCCAAAGGCCGAAATGAAGCAAAGTTTCGGACTTTGACCGACCTATGGGAGGCGATATTGGCCAATGCGCGGATTGGCCGGCCAATCCTAGCATTGGCCGACTTCGGGCTTTGACCGTAACATATATATATATATATATATATATATATATATATATATATATATATATATATATATATATATATATATATATATATATAATATATTTATTTATTTATTTATTTATTTATAAGTATATATGTCTATTGAGTTTTTTCTTTTATATAGTACCACACCGTTCATTCGATCGCAGTGTAACTTTGGGAAGTTGTTGAGAATACTCCTAGATAGGTTTCTGCTATTAAAAAAAAAAGTGGCTATTGGAGTGGCGCCCAGAGTTCCCCATCGGCTATTTTAGCTCTTGAAATCCATTGATAGGGCGTCCTGAACAAGTTATTAGGGGTTCGACTTGATTCAACGGTCAAACTTCACCAGGTGCATCAGCCCGGGCTCGAGCAATCAGAGGCGTAGCGAGGGGGGGGCGGGGGGGGACATATGTCCCCGGGCGCCGACCTTAGGGGGGGGGCGCCAAATTGAAAGTTTGAGGGTGGGTGCAAATGAAAAGTTCGAGGGGGGGGGGGTGCAAATCGAAAGTTTGAGGGGGAGGTGCAAATGAAAAGTTCGAGGGGGGGTGCAAATCGAAAGTTTGAGGGGGGGGGGGGGTGCAAATCGAAAATTTGCTCCCGAGGGGGCGCCAAATTGAAAGTATGTCCCCGGGCGCCGGGAAGGGTCGCTACGCCTCTGCGAGCAATGTCTCCCTACGTTCATTTTAAAAATAACCATACACTATGAATACGGTGGGCCACTGTAGTCGTAGACTAAATCATACTAGCGCCCCGAGTTTACCAGCGGCTACCTGAACACATGGAGTCCGTTGATTTGGCGTCCTGCGCAAGGGGTCAAGGGTACTATTTGATTCAAGTGAAAAACTATAAGGGGCGGTCTCGGACACCCGACGGTCGTGTGACCCGAAGCACCCCTGGGTCACATATGAGCAGTATGGCACCTATATTCATTTTAAAGAGCAATCTTTACAAGGGACACGTTTGGCGATTACATGACTAAACCGAACCAGAGGTCCCATGTGGCGCCCCTGCAATAGTGTACCCAGTGTGCCCCGAGAGCGCCCCACAACGCCCCTGATACCCGAGCTTTCACTGATGATTGTTTTATCTCACGTCACGGATTGTGATTAACGTACTCTTAGGACTTTCATTCAGCTCGCTGAGCGGTAGTGTGGACAAACCCGCGTCCCAAAAACTAAAGATCCAAGAAAAATAACACCGGCTTTGTTCGCGTCTAAAAAAATACACGATTGATGAAATCATTTAAAATGGCGTATACGACTAGATCGCATCAAGGCGCGACGGGTACGCTAGTTTTACATTAAGTGTTATTTCAATGCCTGGCTTAAACTATTATAAGGGCTATATTCTAAATTATGTAACTGTGTCTACCTTTGGCGTTGTATGAAAACTCTATATTGTCTATATCCATTATTTCAGTAACAATTCCTGCTTCCAGTCACAGGATGTCTGGTTTTCGTGATAGAGTGGACATCTTGGCCACTCAGGCAGAGAAAACCTTGTCTGTCAGACTCACGAACTTTGATTCTGGGCCCCATCAATAGAAAACATGGGGAGCCAGCGGCAGTTTTTGGAAATTGTAACACTGATTACATTGTTTTGTGTGTGTGTGTGTGGTAGGCTTACTATTAGCAATGTTTTAATTTTTGCTTGGATTGTGTGTGTGTGTGTTTATATGTGTGTGTTTGTTTGTATGTGTGTATGTGTGTGTGTTTGTTTGGAGAGGTGGGTGGTCTTGATTGTTCCTATATTGTAGCCTATTAAGTGTGGTGATCTATGGTGATATGTTACGTAACCTGATAACTTAAATTGTGATGTTTGTATAATCTTCGTAACTTCTATGTAACACATCCTATATGTCTCTACACTAACCAACTTATTCTCTGAACTTTGACCTTTCGCTCTTGGCAATAAATAGCGGGTCTAAAATAAGTTAGTTAACTATGTGGATTTTTATTGTAGGCTTAAATTGTTGTTAAATGTTAAAGTTCATTGTTGAAAGGTGAACGGAATATCCAGTTGCCTTTTTTTTTGTCAAGACATATAAGCCTAAACGTATGTGACAATGCTTTAAAATATTAGCAAATTAGTTGTATTTATATTACGTTATTTGCTTTAACTTTATTTACATGAAATTATAAAGATTAGGCCTTATAGGCCTAATTCTTTTAAAAAAAAGCTACCACACTTTTGAGAGGGATTTAGGCTAGGTAACTTCAGTGAGTATTTATTTTCTTTTATTATTATTTTATTTATTAGTAGTCTTTACATGAAATATTTCCTAATATAGATCTTCTTTGAATAATTAAAAAAAATAATTTATCATCTCGAAAGAAAGAAAATCAACGAACAAAAAAGAAAAAGACGAAAAAAGAAAAGAAAAAAAAAAAAAACCAAGCCGCTAAATTTAATCCGGAAGTAAACAAACGTTCACTTTCCATCCTAACGATGGATTAATCTTACTTCCGCATCAAAACTTTGATTCTCTGTGGCTGTGTAGTTTTATGTTATGTCTGTTACTTTGTGTTATTATACAACCTATTTTAGTATCCATGATTATTTTAACTATTTATTCCAAATTTACGTTGAATATTAGATACACAATCTAGTATTATTCAAGATCATGGCTGGAAATGCAATTCCTCCTCGCACCAGATCGCGGACGTCCAGTTCGTCGTTTAAAGAAAGATCGCCGTTGGAAACACTGCAACACATGGGCTTTCCACGAAACAGGGCGTATGTAACTGTGTTTTATATGTTTTACTATTGGGGGAAACACTGCAACACATGGGCTTTCCACGAAACAGGGCATATGTAACTAGACCTATGTTTTATATGTTTTACTATTGGGTCGTCCATAAATGCCATTAAATGGCTTTACACAACTGATGGTGGGGTGAGTGGGTTGGGGTTCAGACTTTTTGTTATGGATCATTGTCATGATTTGTGGGTCAAAACAGGCTGACAAATCGTCAAATCAATCCCGACAATAACAAAAAATGAAAAATCAATCAGCAACAAAAGTAAATTTAAAAGGATCCCATCAGTTCAGCTTACAACAAACACAATTTTTGACCAAATAGCCCCAGCTAATACCTATGCAATAGGGAATCTCGTAAACTGGCAACTACATCTACACTAAAGTAAAACACTTAACAAAAGTCAGAGGTCTTGTGAAACATCAATGTTGTGAGAGATTAACACTGTTGCACAACTTGCATTTTATACTGCATTGTTATTGTGTAATTTTTCTTAATATTTTTAATAGGCTTACATAAAACACCCAAAACATAACATATAGGCCTACATTTATCTATTCTGTCTTTTGTTTCCCAGGGAAAAGGCTGTTGCTGTCACTGGTAACAGAGGGGTTCAGATAGCTTCTGATTGGTAAGAAAACAGACAGAGCTTTATAATCAGTTCTCTGCCTTAACACCAATTTTATGTGACGCTGCTGCTTATGGTTGTTTGATATGAATTTAGCCTGGGTACTGCCAAACTTCACATTATGATGTGCAGGTTTATTTCTTTAGATGTTTAAACTAAATGTCTCTGTGCTTTAAAATTAAAAACCTAGTGACTCTCTTACCTGATATATTTTAAAAATGATTGTTGAATGACTTTGTTTCTTCTGGTAAATTTCAAAAGGTATTGTTGATTCTCATTCAGGCTTCTATCCCATGTGAATGACCCTAAAAATTTCAAAAGGTATTGTTGATTCCCATTCAGGCTTCTATCCCATGTGAATGACCCTAAACTGGATGACCCTGAGCCACAGGAATTCATCATTTACCTTTGTCCAGTTGGCGAGTTCCTGGTCAACTTACTGGAATACTGGGATCACACACTGCAGCTATGTGGCTGGAATTCAGCACACATATATCAACCACATATAACACTGTGCTCATTTTTCAAGGTAATTTAGGCTTAAGGGAAGCTACTCATATCCCCTAACTTACATCCTTAGGAACTCAGCACAAAAAAAAAAACTTTTTTTCATAGATTTGCTCTTAATTCTGATTGAAATAAATGAGAAAAACTTCTACTCTGTCTTTTTAAACTTATTCTGTTATTTAGATTATTCTGTGCACAATTTAAAATTTTTAACATTATCACACTTTTTGTTTTGAAAGAAACATTTTTTTGTGAGATACAACCCACATCTTGAATTAGGATCTCAGTTCAGGAGATGCATTGTGTCTTTCACACCTAGAGCACTTGAAAAGGAAAACTCTTGAAACAACTGCTTCTAACCCTAACAACTTTGAACACTTTTGTCTTTTAGATTCCACACAGCCGAGTGAGTGTCATTGATCAAGTTGTTGCCAGAATAGCCCTTGAGCTCAAGGAATGGCCAGCTTTAGGCTCTCTTGGTCTACATTTGTTTACTCAAAGCCAGAATTTTATCGGCTACTTTGTCAAGAGCCCTTACCACGAGTTTATTGAAAAACTTATGATCACAGTCCAGCAAGAATTTTTAAAAGCAGGTAAAAAAAAAAATTAGTTATAAATTTATATGCAAACTGTGAATCTATATGTCCTAGCATTGTAAAAATTTGATGGATATTTTGGTGGAACACAATGTTTTTAAAAATATCTCAGTATTTGTATTGTAAATGTAACCATATCAACTTTAAACAATGTAACTACATGCAGGTATTGAGATGAAGCCCCAGATGAAACAACTTCACATGACCCTCGCCTTCCAGTACGAAGCTTCCAGCCATGATCTTTTGATGAAACTAGCTGAAGAAATCAAAATCCCCAGCCTGACTCACTGGCAGATCAAAGTATTCTCACGAAACTCAGAACTTAAATTAGCTGAAGTAAGTTTTTTTTTTAAATTGAGACCAAGGCTATTGTTATTCTGGACAAAATTTGATCTTAGTATCTTCTTCTTCTTTGTTCTTAATTATTAGTGTTGAAGGGGATCGAGATTTATCTGCCAGTGGGTTTGATCTCGAGACTTTGTTCGAATTTATCAAACATGAGCTGTTTACCGACTCGACCACGCCTCCAACACAATTAAGCGTTACGTGTCAACTGGTTATGCGCCATTGAGGCCATTGACTCCGATTTCAGCCTGCTTTTCTTTTTGGATTTGCTTCCATAGCCTTTGTCCAACCAAGAACAAACTACAAGGCAGCAGTTGTTTAATTTTGGAGTTGTTTCTCCTAGAAGAGTGGCTGTCCCCAGCTAACAAGCCTCATCTGCCCGATGGTTCGAACTCGCGACTTTTCGGTTTAGCAGCCATGAGCTTTACCGACTCGACCACGCCGACCCCCGATCTTAGTATAATTTATAAGGATAAATATTTAGAATCTAGTGTGTGTCCAATCCATATGTACAGGTGTAAAAATGTCCGTGCTATGTCCCACAAAGGTCAGGAGGGTCATCAAGATGTACAAGCCACAGCAGGAAGACGAGCTGGAGCTAGTGGACGAGGACTGCGTGTACATGGAGCCTGAGGAGCACGAGCGCAGCCCTGACGGATGGTTCAAGGGGACCAGCTGGAGGACAGGGGTCTCAGGGTTCTTCCCTGGGAACTTCACCATCAAGTGCTCTCAGATGGACACTTGGGCCCTGCACAGGTAATTACTGGACACCATCAAGTGCTCTCAGATGGACACTTGGGCCCTGCACAGGTAATTACTGGACACTTGGGCCCTGCACAGGTAATTACTGGACACTTGGGCCCTGCACAGGTAATTACTGGACACTTGGGCCCTGCATAGGTAATTACTGGACACTTGGGCCCTGCACAGGTAATTACTGGACACTTGGGCCCTGCATAGGTAATTACTGGACACTTGGGCCCTGCATAGGTAATTACTGGACACTTGGGCCCTGCACAGGTAATTACTGGACACTTGGGCCCTGCACAGGTAATTAGTGGACACTTGGGCCCTGCATAGGTAATTACTGGACACTTGGGCCCTGCACAGGTAATTACTGGACACTTGGGCCCTGCACAGGTAATTAGTGGACACTTGGGCCCTGCACAGGTAATAATTAGTGGACACTTAGGCCTTACACATTGGATAACTGCTGGACACTTGGGTGTTACACAGGTAGTAATTACTGGGCACATGGGCCTTACACATCTAATAATTAGTGGACACTTGAGCTTTACATAGGTAATAATTACTGGAGTTAAGTAATAATACACACAAAAACAATATTTACAGTTATGTGATTTAGTAAAATATGCATCCATTTTAATTTTTCAGGGAAGTCTCATTGCCAAATTTTTCTCCATCCAATGTAAATGTGAACGTGGCGGAGAGAGCCATAGAATCACGGATGCTGATGGATATTGGTGATTACGACAACCTGTGGGCAGCAAGTGTCAACGGGAACACAGCTGATGAGGAACTTTATGCCAAGGTCACGAAGAAACCACAGAAACTCCGACCTGCGGAACCAAGGAAGCTGTTTGTAGTCAGGCATGCTGAGAGATGTGACTTTGCGTTTTCAAAGAGCTGGTTTGAGAAATGTTTTGATGAAACTGGTAGGTCTGACCTGTCTAACCCCAACTCTCACCTATATGTGGTCTAGATCCTTGTGAGGCTGGTATAAGGACGGGTTATCTGTGGGTACTTTATTGTTGTTGTGATATTTGTCATAGTTCAAGTCTTGTTAGCAAACTAAGAGTTGTGATACTTTGTTGTGAGTTCTATTTTCTGTTTAAATGATTTATTTTAAAAATTCTTCATTTACAGGTAAATATTTCAGATTTAATCTGAACTGTCCAAAGACTATGGTACAACGAAACAACTATAAAGATTTCATCAGAGATTGTCCGCTGACAGTAATAGGCAGAGAACAAGCTAAAGTTACAGGTACACAACACTTGAACATTTTCCTAACTTAGGAAACAGAAGAGCTCTGGTAATTTTCACACTTGAACATTTTCCTAACTTAGGAAACAGAAGAGCTCTGGTAATTTTCACACTTGAACATTTTCCTACCTTAGGAAACAGAAGAGCTCTGGTAATTTTCACACTTGAACATGTTCCTAACTTAGGAAACAGAAGAGCTCTGGTAATTTTCAATCTTATCAGTTCTTACAGAGGCACTGAATATCTTCTATTTAGGTGAGGCCTTACGTGAAGCCGGGGAATCTATTTCCTACATTTATTGCTCGCCCTCGCTGAGGTGTGTCGAGACAGCAACTGAGCTCATGTCAGGCAAGTGAAAATGTTGAATACATTCAGACCTATTGATTGGGAGATTTAGCACTACAGACACATGTCTGCCCTGCCCTAGTTTTTGAAACAAGAAAAATTGATCTTATTAATTTTTTAATTTTGGTAATCAAAACAAATTTATCTCTACCATCAATCTTAAAAAAATTAGACTTGCACGTTTATTATCATGGAGCTATGGTCCACTAATTTTAACTTTTTATTTACTCATTTTTTATATTAGTTGACTCAAAAATATTTTGGTATGATTAACTTTAGCATATGTATAACCATACTTGTTTCTAAAATTATTTTCATTATCTTCAGCATATGGTTTACTTTATTTATTTTAAAAATTTCTTTCATTATCTTGAGTGTATGGTTCAATAGACTTTGTTATAAAATAATTTTTTAACTCTAGCTTGTTTTGCATGAGTTGTTTAATAAAATAATTGTCCTAAATGTTAGCGTATGGCTCGCCATTGAAGATGTGCGTAGAGCCGTGCCTGTTTGAGTGGCTGGGCTGGCACAAGCCCCTCCTGCCAACTTTCATGTCCTATGATGAACTGGAGAGGTGTGGCTTCCCTATAGACACATCCTACATTCCGCTCATCTCCTTTGATAGCATTCCCATGTCTGAAAGTGTTGGGGATTATTACAGGCGCTCCTACAACTTTACTCAACATGTGCTAAAGAAACACAAAGCTGGAGGTCAGTTTGCTTTTAAAAGATCTGTTGTTTTTTGTTTTCACTTTTGATGATAAGACATTACTGTGTAATATTTACATTTTGCTTTGTAAGCTTTATGACTTTGATATGTAAGATTTACCTTTACTGTGTAGAATTAGCACATTGCTGTGTAATATTTACATGTTGCTGTGTATACGCTTAATGTCATTGGTATGTAAGATTAAGACATAACTGTGTATTTCTACAGGAGGGAACATACTGATAGTTGCCCACTCTGGTTCATTGGATGCCTGCACAAGGCAGCTACAAGGAAAAGCTGTGCGCAATCCAGAACAGTTCCGCAACATAGTACGAGGGTGCCCGTATTGTTGTGTGTGTATGGCAGTGGAAGATGTTATGAACTGTAGGTGGAATCTGGTGGAGCCGTCTATAGCCCAGTTTAGCCACGGAGCTAACAAAGACTTCAAGTGGGACACACTTTTAACAACATAGATCAAATGGGACAGAATTGTTACAACATAGATCAAATTTGACACAATTGTTACAACATAGACCATGTTTTGTTACCTCTTGTTGCTGTGTCATGAGAACTGTGATGTTGGACAGCATATACCCAGAACAGAGCGTGGAAATTATTTTCAAAATATTTAAAATATGAAACATTAATGTTACTCGACAGCTTTTTGTTGTATTTGCTGCTGCTTCAGTATTACCATTCATTTTACTTGATAGATGTTACCATCTCTAGTTTCTGAATTTACCATCATTGGTTGTAGATGTTACCATCTCTAGTTTCTGAATTTACCATCATTGGTTGTAGATGTTACCATCTCTAGTTTCTGAATTTACCATCATTGGTTGTAGATGTTACCATCTCTAGTTTCTGTTTTAATCATCATTTGTTTCTTGAAATGACAAATCTGTGGGTGTTTACAAACATCAGTTTTTCATACATTTTTTGAAACTGTCAAAACTTCTTTAAAACTAGTTAGTTTAAGTGTAATGTAAAAATTACATGAATATATTTCTCTGACTTTCTTATGTTTTGTAATGAATATATAAAAATCAGATTGTTTCGCTTGCTTTCGTAATTCATATTTTATCTGTTTTGTACAGCAAATTGTTATTGAACTGTTATAATTATATAAACACCAAATTTCTATGACTGTGCTATCCTTAATTTATTAGAGCTTAGTATTTGTTTAGACAGAGCTTAATGAGAAGATGGCTGTACTGTTGGTTGTTTTCCTCAGCTCTGAAGTAATAACCCATAGCTCATCAAATGATATAAAAACATCACTATTTTAAAATGACATCTCTAGTCTTATACATGTGTTAAATATATACCTAGGACTGTCTGTCATTGGTATAACGGTGATATAATTTGACAAATAGCCTAGTTAAATTTTAGTAGTTTCACTAAACATATTTTGTGTGCGGTGTTTTATCCTAACAGTTGTTGTGTTGAATTTTTTAGTAAGTTCTTAACTATAATTGTACCATCTTCTGTTACCTTACAACAAATTTTACCAATGAATTGTAAGTACTTGAAAATTATTAATACCATGAAATTGTAATATTAAAAACAATGTTATTTAAAAAGGAAATTTTTATATTTATTTATTTTTACCATTCAACTAAAAATGTTTTTTATGATTTTAAGTATTGAATTTTTTTTTTTTCAAATGTTAATTTAAAAATTACAAATTTATTTTTTTCCAATACTTTCTGAGATTGATTGTTATGAGACATGTAATTTCAGGCTAGAACTTGTTTGTTACTGATAGAATCTAGATCTTTCAGTGATGTTGAGGCTGGCTATTCATAATAGGACAGTTTTGTTGACAGTACTGTAAAACTGTGATTTTGTTGCTTTCACCAATTACTGTTTATTTTATTGCCATGTTTTAATGCTGGCTAGATCTGCCTTACTGTTGAGATTATTACTGTCTGCACAGGTGATCTTGTTTCCATGGAGACTATATTTTAACTCCGTTAATTCAGGTCATGTGCTTTTAATTAGATTTTCTTTTCATTTAAGAAATTGTCTTTTAATGTTTGATTCACATTTATTGTGTCAGTAGTTTATTAAAGTAAAATTATTTATACAGTCAAGTATAAAAACTTTTCTTTAAAGTAATCGGTCTCTTATGCTAAATCCCAATGATCAAAAAAAAAACATTGGTCAGCCCCCACATCCCCTCCCCTCCCATGTCAAACCCCTGGATCCCACTCTCTGTACCCTTGAGGTTTAGTCTCTCAACTTTTGTATCGTTGAACACATTTTTTTATCTAGCCATTTCTACCTTCCCAGCCTCCTCCACATTAGGATGTCTTAAATCTCAGGTGCTGTCTTTGTTTGCTCTTTGATGTGTTGCTGTGTTGATGTGTTGCTGTGTTGATGTGTTGCTGTGTTGGGCTAATCCAACACTTGTGATTCCTCAACTGTGTGGTGGCTTTCTTTTAGGTGGTAGTTTTGTTGGTAGTTTAAATTTTAATGATAAAAACAAAATTATATGTGTATGCTTTTATGTTGATAATATTTTATCTTGCTAAAATGTTTCCTTAAATAGACCTCAAACAGGGTGTTTTATGACATGGGTTTTTAATTTGGCAGCACAATCAAGTAATTAAAAAATCTTTAGTAATCCCAAAATCCTTAGTAATCCCAAAATCTTTAGTAATCCCAAAATCCTTAGTAATCCCAAAATCCCTAGTAATCCCAAAATCCCTATTAATCTATTTTCTTAAGTTTAGTACGGTAATTATGTGACACCTGTACACTGCAATTATATGCTGAGCTTTTAAAATTATATGTATAAAAAATAATTATATAATTGTAAATAGTTTTTTTACCATAACACTTCAACCTGGTTTGAAATGTTAAATCCTGAACACATTCTACAAATCTGAACTCTAAGAAAAATAATAATATTTAGTTTGTGTTATATTAATTTGAAGATAAATATTTAGTTTGTGTTATATTAATTTATTGTTACTACAACTTCCTTGTTGCACACATTTTTATTTGATATGGAATCAAAATACTGTACACAATTGTGTTCTTTCTGTGAACTCAAATTTTAAGCAACTATTGTGTATGATTTTATTTTACCTTGTTTTAATTAAAAAAAAAGATGTATGATTTAGTATTTATAGAAACAGAATATTTTAATTTCCTCTATTTACATTGTATGAACTTTGTAGTCTTGATTTGAAAATGTATTGATTGTCCTCAACTTTCAACACATGGCTTTATTAGTCAACACATGGACAGTTTAAGGAAAAAGATTTGCCCACTTGTTGTGATAAGTACAAATATAATTTTACTTTTTCAATTTTAAACCCTATACTGTGATGCAAAAAATTATGTTTTTTATGTCACGATTAGATTTTAGTAAACATTCCAACGTAAGAGCTTAACATGAATCAACTTAAGGTCAATTTCTGAGCTTAACGAGCCTTAACTCAGATGTAATTAATTTCTTCATTCCTATAGCTTGCATTCAGTACATAACCAGTCTATGACTTAAGATGCTGGTGTGTTGTAAGACACAATGCTTGAAACAATGTTACCATTTGTAATCCAGCACATGACCAGTCAATGACTTAAGATGCTGGTGTGTTTTAAGATGCTGGTGTGTTGTAAGACACAATGCTTGAAACAATGTTATCATTTTAAAAGAGTTTTTTTTTGTTGTTGTGTAAATAAGTCTGGGCAGTGTGACCCCCATGATACTTTCAAACTCTACTTTATCTGCCCTGAAAGGATACTTACACCCTGTTTTACATATTTGAAGTCTTCTTCCTTAGGTGACAGTTTGACAAATAATCCCATAAGTGTGATTAATGGTTAATACAAATATTTAAAAAAAATTACATTTGAAGTCTTTTAATGGTTGATTAAAGTTGAATTAACTGTCACCATTGTGAAATTTAGAATGGGCATTATGTATACTGACATACTTTTATGAAAATATTTTTTGGTGTCATGTATAACCATTTAAAACTGTTATTTGAAAAAAAAATTTTTTTTATACATAATGATACTTTTGATTGACTATTTTTCTATTTTATCAAATTTTTCTGATTTAAAATTTTTTAAAGTTTAAAATGTTTGATTAAATTCAGCATCATTCTCTCACACTTGAATGACCAACTCTGCTGTGATTTGCTGTACCACTCCAATTATCAGAACTAAATTTTAATTTGCTCTTTTAAAATATTGTGATTGAATAATCTCATCCTTCTTCAAAAGTCCCATTTAACTCCAGAAAAAACTTGACATACCAGACAGTACATAATTAAAGACAAAAACTTGACATACCAGTCATTTATTTCATTTACAACTCATGTTAGTCACTCTCCCCCCCCCCCCCCCCCCCCCCATTGGTCAAATACAATGTGATGTATTTGTTTTGTGCCACTTTGACATTACACATCCTGATTCTAATTTTTATTTAACTTCCTGCTTTGCTTGTTACCTTTCATTTATCCTCTGACTCAGTGTGATTTTTATCAAACAAGGGTGACCTTGTTTAAAAAAAAATATTACTGAGTGAAGTTTAAAAAAAATTCTTTTCCAAATTAATTTATTTAACTTTTTAATATATGTATATAATTTTCTTATCTGCCTTTTTAAATCTTTATTTTAATTTTAATTATTGATATAAAGTTTGTCTTTGGTTTCCATTTAAAATCTAACTTAATGAAGTTTTAGTCAATACCTTAAAACATGTGGTTGTTTTTTTTTTGTTTTTAAATTCAGAATAATTTGCTGTATGTGTATGTTTTAACAGCTGTCAACAATAGTTTGAATTAGTATAAAAAAATAAAGATAATAATTTGAAGTAAAACTTCAAAAAACATTGCAAACGCTTTATTTTAATTTGTGACTCATCAAAAATTAAATGTGTTGTAAAAATAAATATTTCCATCACATTTAATTAGATATATAAAAAAGGCAGTATACATAAAGACAATGCTGAGAAATCGAACTAACAGTTTTTATGCTGAGTATTAGTGAGGTTTAATATGTGACAGATTGAAAGTTTTATACAAAATTCATCCTTTGGCTAGTGAAATGGAAAAAATCTGGCCACTTTCAAAATTACGTTACAAAATTGCGCTTTCAAGACAAAAGAGGTAGTACAAGGGAGAAAATGTGGGAGGAAAGCCAACCACTAGTGGAGTTTCCAGGATGGGATGGGTTTACAATGAATTAGAAAACATGAACATTATTTGTTCATACATTAACAACAGGTGTGTAAATAATAGGACTGACCTTGAACTTTTATTTACAATCCAAGTTTAAAAACAAACCAAAGAGGCACATATTATTTAGTGTTATCAAGTAGGCTTACATGTAATACAAATTAGTACTAGCATTGTATTACATGGCTATTGAGTATTATAATGATGTCTTTATTTTCTGTTGAATTAAAACGTAGAAAAATTTAATCTTATAATCTAAGTGGCGGCGCCACAGTAACCTCACCCCTCACCAGAATACCCTATTAAAAGAGGTAATTATAGAAAGGAAACAAACAAGTGGATGACTAATTAAAGCAGCCTGTCCACACGATTGTTAAACATATACAACATGTAATATAATGAAATTAATGTCATCACCGGTATAACTTAGTAGTCAGGAAATATTTCAGAGCAGTGGAAATTTACACAGAATAGGTTAGTACACAATCTAACATTTTAAACACGAACTTTAACATGAAAAACACACACACACACACACACACATATATATATGTGTGTGTGTGTATATAAATAAATAAATAAATATATATATATATATATATATATATATATATATATATATATATATATATATATATATATATATATATATGTACATGTATATATATATATATATATATATATATATATATATATATATATATATATATATATATATATATATATATATATAGATATAGATATATATATATATAGATATATATATGCCAACTAGATAAGAACCCGTTCTACACACTGCTCTGTTGAGAAACCATTCCTAGGATTAAAGAAAATAGTGTTTATTGCCCACAGTGGCTCACAGACATCCGATTAGATTTTCTCATGGCTTTATTAGGAAACAACAAAAGTACACACATAAAAGACTTCCTATGAAATTTACGTTTTCAAATACCGATCACCCCACCCCTTGAACTGAACAACAAGAAACCTACTTCCGGTATTCCAGTTAAAATGTATAAAGCACTGCCTGACTGTTTGTCCTGTTTACACTTGCTGGCACAGATCGAGTTTAAAAAACATATTTTTAAATCAGTGATACATTTTGAATATTATTTTCTTCGTGACCTTGACATTTGGATATGTTAACAATGTCACAGTGACCTAGACGGCATGTCGCCGCTAGACGAGCAGAACTCCGTGGGGTTCATCCGTCGACAGAATGGCTTGACGTTTCTCCTGATCGTCTGAAACTGGACTCGCCGGAAAAGGTTTCCCTCCAGGGTGGCCGGGAGGCAATGACCACGGCGGCACGTGCAGAACAGACGGCAGAAGATGGCGCGGAACTTCCTTCCGGTGACGTAGTAGATGAAGAAGTTGATGGCGGAGTTGACGATGGAGAAGAGGTCGGCGCAGGCGGTGAATCTGGTCAAAGGAAGAAAAAATCTTAAGTGTATTTTCTACCCAGTGGCGTAGCGGGGTTGGGTGTCACCCGGTGCGGTACCTGAGGGTGTCACCCCCCCCCCCCCCAAGAATTTAGCATTTTCTGTCGTGATGCCACACTCTGGTGTCACCTGATGATCATCGCCCCCCCCCCCCCCCCCGCAGAGGCGTAGCGGGGGGGGGGACGACGACATATGTCCCCGGGCGACGACCTTAGGGGTGGGCGCCAAATTGAAAGTTTGAGGGGGGGGGGTAGGGTGCAAATGAAAAGTTCGAGGGGGGGGGGGGTGCAAATGAAAAGTTCGAGGGGGGGATGCAAATCGAAAGTTTGTTCCCGGGCGCCGGGAAGGGTCGCTACGTCTCTGACCCCGGCCTCCACCCGCACCCCGCCTTGTGATGTCGCTGTCTCTACCTGCTATGTTCACCCACTTTCGTACTAGTTTGTCGGCAGTGATTGTTTGTATTGGTATTTATCTAGTTCAGTCTCCGTCATTTCATGAGCTCAATACAGAGCTAAGATATATTTCATCTAGCTCGAATCCAAATTAAAAAAAAAATTATTATAGGAATCTTTATTGAAATTATTCAGTCATGAATGTACGAGAACGGGATGGCAGAGTGACAAGGGAGATCACTCTAAATAAAGTCGTGCAGCATTAGCCAGTCATCTCCCTTGAGTGAGCCCCTACCTCTGGGCGTCCTTAGACAGCTCCCCGTAGCTTGTTTTCCACGCCTCCAATATGGTGGTGACAGCCTCCAACAGCTTGCACAGGAAGAACAGCACCGTCATGCAGACGACCATTATCGTCAGGCGATGCTCGTTCTTTAGACGAATCTGATTGGGTGATAAAAATAACATTATCGCATTTTAAAATAAAAGCTTTGGTCGCTCGTGGAATCTCTTACATATGTAAGCGACTAAAGTTTTTATTAAAGGAAGCAAGTTTGTTTCATTTTCTTATTTTCAGCGCATTTAAAAACTTGTTATGATAGGGGTTTTTTTGTGCGATATGTAAAAGACAGTTATGTGCCCCTTCTTTGAGGTCGACTTATCGAGAAATCAGCCAACCATGACGACCAGTTCATCCTCGACAGTGATCTGATCGCGCGATCGCTAATATTTAATCTTGTTATCTCCACTTTTATTATTGAATAATGTAATTTTGTAATTAAATTAAATGACTAACCTCATGTCTAATTAGATTAAACGAATTCGTAGCATTAGAAGTGGGTCAAAATTGAGTTACAAGATTTGCCACAAATCCACTAACAAATGGCCGTAAATTTTGGTAATAAAAAATATTTAAAAAAAAACATTTATAGCGACAAGCTTTTAACGGTACTGAAAAAAAAGCAAATAAAACTAATTTAGTTTCTTAAATAAAAGCTATGTCGCTATTTTTTTATTTATTTTTTGATACTTTTATTTGCAATTAAAACAAGTACATCAACATCAAATTTTGTAACATAATTTTGAACACCAAATGAAAACGAAAGGTTTTGCAAATGTACATAATGAATATTTACATGATGTCATGTATTTGATTATAAAAAAATTGCAAAGGATGACGGTAAAAGGGGTGAAGGTCAAATGAAAGTGTCAGAAGTCTGGGTGGGGAGAGGAAAGGAAATTTTTAGAGAGGGTAGCTTTTTTTAAAAATTTATTTAGAGATCTATAATATTTTAATTACTTAACAAGCTTTAATATGTAAAAGATCTATCGAGCGACCAGAGCGTTTTATTAAAGAAAGTAATTTAGTTTTATTTTCTTATTTTCAGTACCGTTAAAAGCTTGTTGTTTTTTAAATATTTTTTTATATTTTCTACTTTCTAATTTATGAAGACGACACGACTAAAAGTATTTGCTTTAAAACACCATCAGTAGCTCGCAATATCTAAAAGACGATTATCTGCTCTTTGAAAAGCAGCCGTCCGTGGCCATATTTTACTGTCAACAGCAAGTTCCTTTTTCTTTTACCTCCCCTTAGTTTCAAATTGTTTGAACTCTGTATTATCTGCGCCTAATAGCCTTAACTGGATCGACCGGCTATATGATTGTAAACATTCTCGTGAACCACAGCACACCGGATTGTTAGAATGATCGCGTCCAGCTAGTTATCTCCCTTCAGTTATTGAATATAGTAATATAACGAGTTATTTAATTTTGTTATCTCCCCTTAGTGCCGAAACCGTTTAATTAATGTAATGACTAATGAAGCATCTAATTAAATTTTAAAAATAGATAGACTTGTATTGTCATCGAAGTGAAACTTGGAACGAAATCGCTGCATAACAAGTGGGTCAAAATTGAGTTACAAGATTTGCCACAAACCCACAAACTACAAACAAACAAACAAATTAAACAGACTTTGCGAACAAAGTAAAAGCTTGTAAAAATGAATCGATGGTTTATATAGAATATAGAATAGTGATTGCGGAATGAGAAAATGTTTAACGTTAATTTTTTAAAATTTGAAATAGCTATTTATAATTGTCTAGCAGTTATCTTAACCTTATGGCACTAATTCTAGTGGTCAAACCTTATCTTAACCTTATTGCACTACTTATAGTGGTCAAACCTTATATTAACCTTATTGCACTACTTATAGTGGTCAAACCTTATATTAACCTTATTGCGCTACTTATAGTGGTCAAACCTTATCTTAACCTTATTGCGCTACTTATAGTGGTCAAACCTTATCTTAACCTTATTGCGCTACTTATAGTGGTCAAACCTTATCTTAGCTTTATGGTACTATTTCAAACATTAGAAAGAAATTTATTCGCTTCATGGCTCTGTAGATTGTAATCCGACGCGACAAATCTTGATGGCCTTGAAAAACAACCACCCAGCAGTAGGTCCATTTAGATTTTAAAATAGAATTCAACTGGTACAAAGCAGAAAAAAAAACAAAAAAAAAATCCTGTCAAGGAAAGACATTTTCCCCCCTGAAAATAAAACAATCGTGACGTCACGAACCAATTAGTCTCCCGCCGATGATAAATACAAAGTTCTGATAATTAACGTCAATCACGGACACTGTTTGTTCTCCTGACCGAACAAAGCTGCCGATCTCTCAGAAATAACAAAGCGAGATTTGAAAAGACCGGCATCTCACGGCTCTTGCAAGTGTATAGGGCCGTTCTACAGTCCATTGTTTTGTTTATTTCTGGCATCGCTGTGTCCTAAGACTGTCCTGGTTTTATTATGGGATGGCTTGGCTGATCGTCTACCCGTCCTACAGTCCATTGTGTTTTGTTTTATTTCTGGCATCGCTGTGTCCTAAGACTGTCTTGTCTACTGAAGTCTGAGGTTTCTACAGGCTGAGTTCATTCAGCTTTAATGAGTACCTGGCCTAAATCGGGGAAAGTACGAGTGGTATTGAGGCTAACAATGCAGTCTAATCCTGTGCACAGATAATAAAGACGCCAGAATAACTCTACTCCATCTAGCCATAAGGACAATCACCTGTGAAACGGCTCTGATAATTCTCTTTGTTAGGCGTACATTTGGTGCACGTTATACAAATAATTAAACAGGCCGATTCAAGTTTTGGTGTTCATTGAAACTAAATGCTAATTATAGCTTTCTAATAAACGTGTCAACTCACCTCACCATCCTAACAAAAGGTGTCAACTCACCTCACCATCCTAACAAAAGGTGTCAACTCACCTCACCATCCTAACAAAAGGTGTCAACTCACCTCACCATCCTAACAAAAGGTGTCAACTCACCTCACCATCCTATCAAAAGGTGTCAAATCACCTCACCATCCCAAGAAAAGGTGTCAACTCACCTCACCATCCCAACAAAGGTGTCAACTCACCATCCCAAGAAAAGGTGTCAACTCACCTCCATTGAGGCCGCCTCTGAGAGGTTTAACCTCATCATCCGAATGACGCAGGTGTTGAGGAAGAGGAGCAGAGCGAATGGGATGCTGAAGTTGAAGATCCAGTTCAGCCACTTGCAGTACACCTCGTTGTAGAAATCCGAGTTGCCGAATGAATTCCTGGGGAGGAAAATATTGTGTCTGTCATCTGTGTGTCACCATTCACCATTCGTGAGGTCATTAGTCCGTATGTGTCACCAGCTTGTCATGTCATTCATCTGTGTGTGTGTGTCACCATTCACCACTCGTCAGGTAATTCATCTCTGTGTGTCACCATTCACCGTTCATGAGGTCATTGATACTAAAGTTTAACATTAATTGTAAAGGTAATGAATTCAAGCTCAATAAAATAGTAGGAGAGTCATGAAGGTCGGGCTATAGAGCTAGGGTGCGATGGTGCTATATGGCTACAGGGTTATTGGGCTATGAGCTATAGCACTTTGGGCCTTTAAGGCTATTGCGCGATGGCGCTTTAGGGCTATGTGCAAAAGGCTTTAAGGCTATGGACTACGGCGTTGTGAGGCTATGTGCCTATAGGGCTATGGACTACGGGGTTGTGGGGCTATGTACCTATAAAGCTATAGGGCTATGGGGTTATGTACCTGTAGGGCTATAGGGCTATGTACCTGTAGGACTATAGGGCTATGTACCTGTAGGGCTATAGGGCTATGGACTATGGTGCTGTGGGGCTATGTACCTAGTGCTAAAGGGCTGTGAGTCTATAGTGTTATAGGCTCACCTTCCGAAAGATCTGTTGGTAGATTTCTCCGGGTTTTCTGGCTCGTACTCCCAGGCCAGACAATGTGGCAGGTTGTAGAGTATGGACAGGATGACAACCATCATGACAACCTTCTTGGACGTGTGGTTGCTGGAACAATACATCCGATATGTTTACTGGTGGGGGGGGGGGGGGGTGGGGGGTGGGGGATGTGACAACCTTCCTGGAGGTGTGGCTGCGGGAACAATACATCTGATATGTTTACTGGTGGGGTGGGGGGATGTGACAACCTTCTTGGACGTGTGACTGCTGGAACAATACATCCTATATGTTTACTGGTGGGGGTGGGGGTGGGGGGTGGGGGGGATGTGACAACCTTCTTGGACGTGTGACTGCTGGAACAATACATCCTATATGTTTACTGGTGGGGGTGGGGGTGGGGGGTGGGGGGGATGTGACAACCTTCTTGGACGTGTGGTTGCTGGAACAATACAAATGTTTAATTGTGGGGGATGTTGTGATGTAGGGCTGTTGAAATTTTTTTTTTTTTGGGGGGGGGGGGGGGAGGGGTAGTTTTGATTTGTGGGTAGATTTGGGGATGTTGTGATTAACGGGTGAGTAAGATTCAGGTGACGAGCAACTCTCAGTCCTCCCAGCTACATGCCGAGTACATCAACTTTGAAATTAAAAGCTGGTTATCCGATAACAAATCGATGACCCCCCAACCCCCCCCCCCCATAACAAGCTAGATGACAACAACCAAAACACAGTAGACCGAACTGTAATTTAAGCTATGTTAGTACTTTCCTTAAAAATTAGTATCTAAATTCTGTACAAGAAAATTTTTATTATAATATTATAAATACTTAATAGTTTAAGGCATAGTTTGAAAATCTGGCTTTAACATCAGCTATAAATCGACTAATTTCATTTTCAAGCTGTTGGCTTCATAAATTCGGTCCTAAATAGCCCCACTGGCAACTTGATAGTAGCTCTTCAATCAATAAAATGACATTTCCCTTTCTGTCTTGTCCAGGATGAAATCCTTCAACCAACTAGGCTAAGTGCGGTACACCGTGTCTAAAATCGATTCGATTTGAAATGTTTACACGATATTTCATCTTCTTTTTTTATTCAAAAAACTAAAACAAAAGAATCTGACATACGATTTTTTAAAGTATGGAAGAATTGGAAGAATTTAAAAAATATATATCTCAAGACGGTACTGCGGCAGAAAAGTTTTGCCATCAAAGACCCCCCGAAGAAAGTCTACCCCCCCCCCCTCGAACGAAATGGAATGAATATAGAAAATATATACTTATAACAGTGTCCTCCCCCCCCCCCCCGCAAAATGTTGACCGCTCCCCCCCCCCCCCCCCCCCCGAAAATATCAAATTATCAAGTGTCCCGTCCCTCCGGATAAAAAAAAGTCTGGAAGAAACACTGAATACGTTATGATTTTTTTGTGAATGTAGTGCCAACAATTTATAGGATCTTTTTGAGAACATTAGGCAGGCAGTGCCAACAATTTATTAAACAACCCAAAAAATATGAGATTTAAAATCTCCAACTCCTGATCATGACAGTCTCTAGCATGAAGCCTTCAAATGCCGCTTTACGCGTGTCACATGAAAGTACTCTTGTGGATTTTAGATATATGTCTTCACTGTAGACCAGTGTTTCTTTCAGACTTGTTTCTCCAGTGGGGGAGGGGCACTTGAAATTTTCCGGGGGAGGGGCGGGGGAAACAACGACGACACTGGTAGAAGAATACTTTTTCCATATAATTTATATATTATACATTCTATTTCGTTCGTGGGGTGTCCGGTAAGCGGGGTGGGGGGGGGGGGTAGAGTTGCCTGAAATAAACTCTGCTGTCGACTGCGTGATCCAGTTCATACATACGCATATGCACACACATTAACACACAAATAATCACACAACACACACATACACCTATTACCTTATTAAATGTAGTTGAACAGTATCATTGTCTTATTTAAAATGTATTCTAGAAAACTATTCTAAAACCAGCAATCTCGGTAAGTGGGGCCAAGTATAGTTGAGTACGTCGCTGGCGGCTCCACATCAATTTGTTGTTCTCAGCCCCAGTGTTTACATTTTTGATCCTCAACTTAATTAAATTAATTGCGCGTATTTTTGTTTAATTAGATTAAGCCCAATTAATTCTCCGCACAAGTTCTAAGGTTAATACACCCTGACATTTTCGCTCTCTTTCTTTTTTATCTTTCAAAGATTTAGAATTTATTAATCTCGCGATTAAAATTGTTTTTCTTTAGCACGTAGACAGCTGTGGATGAAACAATCTTCGCCACACCATACATGCTAAGTAAATATCGTTATTGCGTCATCCATGAAGAAACGGCCTTGAAATATTTTTTTTTACCAAAGATCACACAGAGAAATAAAGTAAATTTTTGTCAAGGACGTCACATAAGCTGCTTTATACTTGACAATGTTTGAGAAATGAAACTTCAAAGTTTACACACTGAATATTTCACTTATTTAAACAACTGGATAATCAACAATGAGCTTATCAATTTTATTTACTTACCGACTAAAAATAGCCGAAGTACACGGTCATGCTTGTTTAAAACACAAGTTTATTGGCTATCCAATTAGTTGCTTTATTAAGTTTGTTTGTTGTCTTTCAGTTTTTGTTTCAGTACGCGGTATGTGAAATATATTTTAATGCTCAGCTATCGAATTATTTTTAGCATCAGTAACATGAAGCTGTACAAGGTCGTTACCAAAAATACTCTTTAAAGACTTTTTTTTAATACAATAATTTTTGTAACCAAAATGTGGAAAATTGTAGTTGGTGGAGGATGGTTGCTGATGGAAGATGGTTGTTGTTGAAAGATGGTTGTTGGTGTCTGACATCTGAACATGACATCTGAACATGACAACATGACATGTGAACATGACATCTGAACATGACAACATGACATGTGAACATGACATTTGAACATGACAACATGACATGTGAACATGACATCTGAACAGTACATCTGAACAGTACATCTGAACATGACATCTGAACATGACATATGAAAAGGATATCTGTAGGACACTGTCTCTGTTATCTAACCCACAAGGGAGGAACATGATTTAGGAGGATTGATTAGGGTTGTGAGGGGTGGGGTGGGGGGGGGGGGTGAACGTCTAGTTTAGTGACGGCTCCAACCATCAGATGGGCTGTGACGTCTACATGACGTATCTCTCCAGAACACGCAGAAACCTGACACCCTACTGGATTTTCCCAGCATGATTTGGGAGATCTGGTGTGTGTGTGGGGGGGGGGGAGGTAATATAGGGTCTGGTGTGTGTGTATGTGGAGGGGTCAATGTAATTGAACGAGTTTATGGTTTCCCGGAGCACGAAGACTTAAAATGACACTTTTCTGCTCATTTCTATTTTGGAAGATAAAACTCCGAGGATTCCAATCCATCTTGAATGATTCACTTTTTGTATCTGTAAACTGCTATAGAGTTAGTTCCCTTTCTCGCGGCTCTAGCTGTCTGTCATTTAATAAGATTGTTTTATTCCTATCTTTTTCTCCTGCAAGTTTTTTAGTTAACACATAAAACATCCCCTTTTAAATTACAGCTGACTATGAAACATTTAATGACGATTGTTAATGACAAAATGGCTGTGGATAATATGGCTCACTACAATTAACCTTTATAGCCTTAACACGTCTTCAGTGGCGTAGCTAGGATTTTCGGGCCCCTATGCAACAATTATAATTGGGCCCCTACGTCTATATGTAAATTGCGTATTTTATACGCCCCAATTGTGTATTTATACGGTATTACTATGTAGTACCCCGTAAAGTAAAATACCTTTGATTTTATATCACATTTATGTAAAAACAAACTAACAAATTAACTGTAAGTCTGTAACATTAAAGTAACCTAACACTGTAGCGTCACGGGGCGGGGGCCTCACAATTTAGGCGTGACACCATGACGAAAACCCGTAAAATTTGTTTTATTCAGTTAGATAATAAAATATTAAGGAGAGGAGTAACACCCCACCGGAAATGCAAAATTGTTGGACGGGGTGGGGGAGGGTGACACTCACTAAACGCACCGGGTGATATCAAACCTTGTGACGTAACTAACAAAATACAAATTTTAAAAAGCTGCTCATGATTGATTTAGATTTGTTTTTTTTTGCACGTATCGCGTTAAAAGAGCCCGCATTATATATATATATATATATATATATATATATATATATATATATATATATATATATATATATATATATATATATATATATATATAGGTACATACACACATAATTAATATATTATTTATATATATAGAGAGAGAGGTTGAGAGAGAGTGCGAGAGGCACACGTTTAAAAACCAGAGAAAAGGCCTTACCTGTCATTGAAGTAGGCCTTAAATGGCCAGGCAACCACCAGGTACCGCTCTAGGCTGATGGCAACCACGGTGTACGAGATGCAGGTCTGGCTGATGAGTCGGATGGGGAAGAAGATCCTGGGGAGTCAAAATGGGGAGTCAGGA